CTTTTTGTTCCAGTTACACACACAGTACGTCACAGGCTCAAAAGCCTTTCATACCTTCTTCCGATGTTATTATTAAAGACGAACCTGAACGCCGGAATAAATCAGCAGCCAGTGCGACTGAGAATACATCTGAAACTGTAATAATGACAGTCATTTCCAGATGCCATTAAGAGAAGGAATCGGTGCTTTTGTTGCGTGTAATGTGAGACGTCTTGATGACGTGATAAGGCGCTACATCAAATGCAAGGATTATTATTATATTATCACCATGAAACACTTCCAAGGGCCTGACAAAGATTACTACCAAGTGTTGCCACATCCTTTTCTTACGTAGGCAGGCAGGGCGGGGAGTTGGGCACACGGCAATGTTCCAGAAACTGCTGTGAGGTTCTCAACCCCCATTAACCTGGAGGATGATGATGGTCAGGTCATCGGAAGGAATTCTTTATTCCCTTAGTGTCGATAGGATCCTTGAAGAATCACAGACATGGTGACAACTCACCACATCTTGTTGATCATCGAGGTCATCAAGTCCATTCCTTCACAAGATTATTAAAATATATTTTCTGCTCCACTATTGGTCTGTCGTTGCCCAAAACAGTTTATTCAGGCTCACACTCCATTGCAGTGCTGAGGGGAGCATTGCATTGTCGGAGGTGCCGTCCTTCAGATGAGACGTTAAACCCAGGTCCTGTCTGTCTGTTCAGGTGGATGTTAAAGATCCCACGGCACTATTTGTAAAAAGAAGGGAGTTTCTCTCTCCTGGTGTCATGGCTGACAATCCCCCAAATAAAATTGATCATTGATTTTATCACTGAGACATTGATGTGCGCAAATTGGCTGCCGCATTCATTTTAAAATTAGCATCAAGGGCGGTTAGAAGTGAGATAAGAGAACATTACTTTACACAGAATGTGCTGCGAATGTGAAACACACAACCTCAGAACAGCAGAATTAATTGAGATACTTATAAAGGGAAGCAGACAGGTAGACACGAGGGAAATGAGGGGTGTGGAGGAAAGGTGGGAAAAGACTTGACCTCCGCTAAGCAGCGCAGGAGAGATGGGATGAAGGAAACTTCTGACCTCTCATCTCTCTGAAGCACAGAGCACCAGAGGCTGCATCTTTGCATCGGTCTCATCTAATTCGTATTAACAAAAAGCTGACAATCCATTTAAGGCACTAATTCAATCACAAAGCTCTCCAACAAACTGATGAATGAGTTCAGCCTTATAGACTGAAGGTAATATTCCGTGTCAAGCCTAACTCAGGGAGGATGGAGTCCGCTATATTTGATCGGGCAAACATGGGGGAGAAGGCCAATAAAGAGGTTTAGAGGGAGTGGGGAGAAATGGGGAGGATTAGGAGGATTAGGAGAGGTGAGGCTCATATACAGTATAAACGCTGGCATGGATTAGCTGGGCTGAATGGCTAGTTTTAGAGCTGTAGGTTCTGTGATTTTCTTCTATTATCATTGGAAAATATCTCCATCCACACAAAAGGAGAAACTGGGCTGTGAGCACTGAAGGCACAGAGGGAGACATGGGGGATGGAGAGGGACACAGGGCTGTGGCGAAAGAGCTGGAGGGAATTCAGTGACAGATAGGAAACAGAACTAGAGCAGGAGCACAAAGGCAGAGGAACAGAGCCAGAGCGAAATAACTCGATTAAAATCACAGGAAAAAAAACAACGAGAGAGGCACAGAGGCAGAGAGGAGAGAATGAAACAGATGTAGGAACGTAGGAACAGGAGTTAGCCATTCAGCCCCCTGAGCCTATTCCGCCATTGTATTAGATCATGACTGATATGTACCTTAACTCCAATTACCTGCCTATGCTCCATATTCCTTGATACCCTTACCTAACAAACATCTATCCACATCAGTCTTGAAGGTTTTAACTGATCCAGCATCCATAGCCTTTTGATTTGTTTTATGACACTAGTCAAGCACTATTCTAGCCATTTAAACAACCACTGTGATGTAACAATCATTTTGCCCACAATATACACACTTTACAGCAATTCCTGTGAGATCTCCTCTCGACATGAAAGTCGCTACATCAAATGCAAGGATTCTTAATGATGCCAAGATCCCACACATCACAGGCAGAGCCCTGACATCTCACACTCTTCCGCCCTGCACTTCAGCCACTGTCTTTACTACATTAGTTGCTTCTGAAGCAGAGCTTGGAACACGTAACCAGCTCCTGCCAACGTCAGTGTCAGTGTCACAACACCAAGCACACAGCCCTCGACCTCACACACTGAACGTAACTCTCTGTTGACACAAATATTGCCCGTGTCTTTTCCCTGATGCTGTTGGCTCTCCAAAGCCACCGTTCCAGGTGACCAAAAAAATAAATGTTCTTGATTTACATTATTGTTATTATTACTGAGTCCTGTAGCTCAGTGGTTAGAGCACTCGCTTTGCAAGTGAAAGACCTGAGTTCAATTCCAGGCAGAGGGCGAAACCTTGGGCAAGTTTCCTTACTCCACACAGAGCCTAATAATAATCCCTCCAAAACCAAAAACAATAATAAATTGGTCATTTTCAATCCACGACTGTTTGTGGACATTGCTGTGCGCAATTGGCTGCTGCGTTCGCCCACAAATATACAGTCAATTCACTTTACAGTATATTCTGTGAAGCGCTTTGGGACGTCCTCCTGACGTGAAAAGCGCTATATCAAATGCAAGGATTATTATTATTATTATTATTATTGATTTATAAGCTTTGCATTTGATACAACTCAAAGACGTCTCAAAGCACTTCACAGAATATACTGTACTGTAAAGTGAATTGGCTGTATATTTTATGGGTGAAATGTGGCAGCCAATTGCGCACAGCAGTATCCCACAAACAGCCATGGATTTAACACTGATTTAAAACCTAGACTAGTGCGAATGTTCCACAGATAGATTGTTGGAATGGAATGCGCATTCTCTCCCGAGAGGGATGCATCCAGTTTACCTAATTCGGGAATGTAATAGACGCAGGTTGACAAGAGCCAAGGTTTGGGGACCCAACAGTGCGCGTTGGGGGAGCTGCTGGGATCTAACCAGATAAAACCGCATAGCTTGCCTCATTCATATGCAAAGCAAGAAGAGGCAGTATTGAAATAAATGCAAACCGCTAACCAGGAGGTGACCTCTTGTAACTTAAGTGCTCACCAGGTTACAACACCTCAATAAGTCACGTTGCATTAATGTTCTGTTTTACCTCAATCTGGTATGACTCACAAAGATGCAGAGTGAGTGCAACTGCATTTAATTCCATTACAAAAACCTCTGTTCGGTTTTTAAGCCATCACAACATTCTAATTATATTAAAATATAAATCTGTACGAAAAAGCAAATCACTCACCTGCCTTTTGTTCCCCTGAAGTTCTTGAAAGGTTTTGAGTCTCTGCCCAAGTCTGTTATACACACAAACACACAGATTATTGCACACAGCAAAAAAAAATCAATCACAGTTCAACATAAATTAGTCTTCAAGCAATAGGAAATGTGCAAGGCACAAACAGGAGAGAGAAAGATAGAGAGAGAAATAGAGAGAGTGAGGGAGATTACCGCTGATTTCAAAAAATTTAATTGAAATCAACTTGATTTTAGAACATTCTCAAAAACTAAACTCGAAATGTTTTTTTTAATTAAAAGAAAAATGATACAGAAAAGGCTTTATACCTGAGTTCACTCGATTTTATTTAAAAAATAATAATTATTATTTGGTTGTTCAACCTATGATTGTTTGTGGGACAATAGTGTGTGCAATTGGCTGCCGTGTGTCGCCCACAAAAAATATACAGTCAATTCACTTTACAGTACACACAAAACTCAAAATACTGCAGATGCTGGAAATCTGAAACAAAAACAACACTTTCCTTTCTCCACAGATGCTGCAGATCTGCTGAGTGTTCCCACCGACTTCTGTTTTTGTTTCACTTTACAGTATATCCTGTGAAGCGCTCTGAGACGTCTCGAAGACGTGATAAGGCGCTATATCAAATGCAAGGATCATTATTACATATATATATCAGAGTTAATATCGAAATGGGAAAATGTGCTCCCTCCCTGTGTGTGTGTGGGGGGGTGGGGGCTACTGGTACAATACTTAATATAGCAGTGTTTACTGATTCTGTCCTGAAACCCACTCCAACCCTTTGTCGGTTTAACAGAAGAAGATAGAAAGAGAAAAAATCTGGGGAAAGAGAGAGAGAGAGAGAGGATACATGGATAGATAGAGAGAGAAAAGAGGGGGTGTTGGTAGAGAGAGAAAATGAAAAGGAGAAAGGTGAAAGAACAGAAGAAAATAGAGAGAAAATAACCTGGGAGATAGAGAGAGGAAGAGAGAATAGAGAGAGAGAGAGAATGAGAAGAGAGAAAGGAAAAGAGACAAAGAAAGAAGAAAGATGTAGAAAGAGAGAGAGAGAGAGAGAGAAAGAAGAATGGAACGGGAGAATAGAGGAGGGGAATAGAAGAGACGATTTCACTGGTCCCAATGAGTTGCAACACAGAGAAGGCGATGTGTTAGTTACAGCGATGGGTTGACACACACACACAGATCCGTGTGGGACTGAGCCAAACAGCACAGCCACAGCATCCACACAGACTGCGGGTGTGTGAGTGCGGTGTGAGTGTGTGGGGACAGCATCTCGAAGTGTGTGTTGTGTTGTGTGTTGTGTGTGTGATGGGTTTTGCTGAGGTTGGGCTGTGGGATGGGAGGAACACTCAACCCTTGGACTTGTGTGTACCAGTTTACATGGGCAGTTATTGGGGAGCAAATGTCACCACCTGCACTTTCTGAAGGATGTTTAGCCCTGAGGGTTTTACCCCAATCGTGTTGTATTTTTTATGTCCACTACACATATGGTATATCTAAATGCATAATCCAATGGATCTCCAAACCCGAAAAGTTTATGCACCCAGTGGTCAAGTCAAGACGTGAATTTTAACAGGATTTTTTTTAAAAAAAATGTTTATTTTACAACCACATTCCAAGGGAAAGAGTGAGTTTTAATTCCATCCTTGGGCTCGGAAAAGAGGAGGGAGAGAGAGAGAGAGAGAGAGACAACAGCAGCTGACTGCCTGGTGAATGGGAAATGTCGAGGAGGTAAGTCTGAATCATATTTTTATTTGGTTTCGTTGTAAAATAATGTTATTAACAATAATATATATATAGAGAGAGAGATTTAGAAAAAAATACCCTTGTGTTATCTTTTCTCTTAAGGTGAAATCTTAGCGTTGCTTTGCTTAGCCTCATTGCAACCCCCCCACCCCCCCACCCCACACCCCCCAACACACACACACACACCTCTTGAATGATAATAATGATTATTTGAGAAGAGAGGGAGAGGGGGACTTGAGATAATCCATTTGTGTCGCATTGCAATTGTAACACGTTGTGCAGACAGACAGACAGACACAGAGAGAGAGAGACACACACACACACACAGCAGAACAGGTATGTGTTGTTGTGTACAATTGATCCATTAAAAAAACACACACAGGAACTTCCAACAGAAATGGATTGGGGGATGAGAGGAATGCATTGATTTTCCTCCCTCTCCCCCCCCCCCCCCACACACACACACACAGACACACACACACACACACAAGGGATTGGAAGACAGGCGATTCTGGTGTTTTGTATCGTGTAGGTAGGTGTGTGTGTGTGTGTGTGTGTGAGGTTGGGCCGAAGGGGTGAAGCTAAGCTGAGATCAAACCAATATAAAGTAGGCATTGAGGGAATTGGATGAGTTTTGAGGGCTGTGTTTGTGTGGGAGCGCTTCGCACATTAATGCTATCGTGTGAGGTCCGCTTTGCCAATGCATCAATGGGTTAATGGAGAGAGCAGTGATGGACATCATTGTGTGTGTGTTGGTGGTGGTGTTGGTGTTGAAGGGGAGAGAAATAATGCAAATAACAGTATGGGACCTGCCTGGTCTGGGCTGTCGGGATCTGGATGGTTGTGCAGTGTATTCGTGTCATCTCAGGGAGATTTGGTCAGTCTGGTTGTGTTGATGCTTTTCCAATCCTCTGTGACATGTTGACACGAGCAATACTCTGAGCCCTAGGATTTAACTGGAGATTGTCTGCAGTCTGTGGGTTATCAGTCCATGTTTCTGCAGCATTCTCTCTCTCTCTCTCTCTCATCCTCCCCACTGGCGTATTGCATTCACCAATTTGACTGCATTAATCGCCTGTAAATGCGAGTAAACATAGTTGGGGTTCACACCTGCAGGTGGGTTGGCAGTGCAGGGACTTGGTTTTCTGTGTGGCACTGATTTCAGCCTTTCTGCACCAATGCAGATGGGTTTCTGGGACCTGCCTGGTTTCCTCAAGTGGGGTTTAGGTTCAGGCTTTGGCTGAACACTTTAATGAGAGCCAATATTTATGCAGCGGTAGTAATAATATGCAGTGTGCACACAGCTGCCATTATGACCTGTGGTCCCAGGGCTGTGTGAGGGACCATCTGGAGCTCACAACATGCTCTGAATGCATGAGTTACCCTTGTGGATGACGTAAGGAGGAACTGGCTTCATTTCTACTGTGTAGGAAACGCCAGGCAATTGGGAGATTCCCAGCCTGTGAGCCTTAGGTCCACCCAATGGGTTTGGTCTAACCTGTGGGACTCCCAGGACAACAACAACAACTCGCATTTATATAGCGCCCCCTCACACAGTAGCGTCCCAGAGCGCTTGATAGATAACTTTGGTTGGAAAGGCTAGAAAACATGAAACTTACAGTGGAGAGACTCCACACCCCCATCGTCCTGAGCTAGAGGGAATCCTGGCGTCCAATTTTCAGATGGTCTTAACCCCCATGAGGTTAACCACATGCAGAACATTGCCAGTTGGGTTAACTCACCCACCAACTAATGTGTCTGTGTACAGGAGGAATTACAGGTGCTCTTAATTCTGCAATCAACCATCACCCATGCCATGGCACCTGGATGCGTTTGCGCTTGATTGACTAGACCCGCAAATTTTGCAGTTAGGTTGTTAACCCAACCCGGAAAATAGACATAATCGTTATGAACGTGGAGCTTGGGTGGAAAATCCGCTTTTCTCTTAAGTGTGTTGAAGAGCGAGACCTTGCGGGTGGTTGAGAAGATTGTCGTCCCACAACATTCTCCCAACAATTTTTATAGGATCATTTAATTATCCTCCATTTGATAAACTGCTGCATAAAATAGCTCGGATCCAGACGAGCCAAGAACATGTTGGAAATGCATCTAAATAGTATCATTCCCGAAGGGAAACTGAGAGAGTTAGTAGGAAGAGAGAGTGACTATAAAGGAAAGAACTTCTATTTTTTTAAACGTCTTATAATGCTGCAAAATGCTTCCCGGTGTTTAAACCATCAAGTCTTGTGACTTTTTTTTGTAGGGAAACGCAGCAAGCAATTTGTAGACAGCGTAAGTCGTAAGAAAAAATGAGGTGAACGAGTAAATTATTCTGGAGGATTATCAGTCAGGACAATGGGCGACTGAATCGCTAAATCAAAATCCACAGCAGGGTGTTCACAAAGTCCTGTTACCCCCTTATTTTTTCTCCTGCTCTACAGCGCACTGCAACCTGCGGAAGAATGATGATGATGATGGTATTTAGAACTAGTGTACTTGATTGTATTCAGTACAAGCGTTTAACTGTATTGAGATGTCCAGAGGATCAGTGTGTGTGTCATCATTTTAATGGCAGATAATGATTCATCGCCATGTTTGGTACCAAATCTTCCATAACATGGACGGAGTGACGGACGAGGAAGTTAGTGGTGACAGGCAGACATTGTTACACTCGACTCACCTGCAACAGAAAATAAAAATTCATTGTAAGAAAAAAAAACAGGAGGTAACAGGACTTTATGAACACCCTGTACAGTCAAATCGTCTCCTTACAAACAGCTGTGGCTCATGCTGTTCTGACAGATAGCTTCTCCTCCGAATGAACGCTTGGTTACTGGCCTGGCTGACTCACTGAGTTGCAGGTAATAATAATCCTTGCATTTGATACAGCACCTTATCACGTCTTCGAGACGTCCCAAAGCGCTTCACAGGAGGTGCTGTAAAGTGAATTGACTGTATTTTGTGGGCGAAATTGTCTGGCGCAAAGCTACAGGTTTGGACAGTGTAGGTCAGGTCTGCGCTGACTTAGCAATGCCTTGAGTGGGCTTGGAGTGTGCGAGGGGGGCTCCGGGTAGGCAAACAGGTGTTGATTACAGGTTCTCGTAAACAGTGAGACTGAGACACTGCGTTCTGATCAGGTCGGTGGCTGAATAATAACACTGCATTTTGAGACACCTGATGCCTGAGGGAGAGAGACTTGCTGTTCAGCTGACGTTAGAAAGGCTGGTGTGTTGTGGTTCCATTCCTCACATCCATTTCCTGAAGGGTCAAGTGCCTCCAGTTCCGTGGGAGTGGACCTGGGATATCACTGATCGCTGGATGGGATCCTCACCCCTGTGGAACGTGGATTCCTTTCTCTGGAATCCTGCTAGGAGACGTGTTAATAAGAAGTTTCTCATCATGTTACAACGTGATCCGATCCTAACCAACGTGTTGCTGTGGTGCAACACTCTCGAGGACGTGTAATCCATCACACAGCACATTCCCAGGCACCTGTTACCCTCCCGATATAAGTGAGCAATGCACAAGCACTTACGTTTGCTTCAGGTATTACTGGGAATTAAGGGGCAGAATTTAATCTTCTGTTAATTTCTCGCATCCATCATTCCACGCCTGTCTGTGGGGACGTCGCTGTGCGCAATTGGCTGCCGCGTTTCGTCCACAAAATACACAGTCACTCCAATTTACAGTGTATCCTGTGAGGCGCTTTGAGACGTCTCGAAGTCGTGATCAGGCGCTGTATCAAAGGCCAGGATTATTTTTATGCTGATTATGATAACTAATGACCCTCACCTTTCCCTCTCCCCGTTTATAAACCAGCCTCGGTGCCACAATGAGCAATGGCGCAGCTTTACTACAAAAAGGTCAACTACTCGCCCTACATAGACCGTATCCCGCTACAGATTGTGCGGGCGGAGAACGAGCTGTCTCTGGAGGAGAAAGCTTACCTGAATGCGGTGGAGAAAGGCGACTACGCCAGTGTCAAGCAGGGCCTGGAGGAGGCCGAGATCTACTTCAACATCAACATCAACTGCACGGACCCTCTGGGCCGCAGTGCCCTCCTCATCGCCATCGAGAACGAGAACCTGGAGATCATGGAGCTGCTCCTCAGCTTCAGCGTGTACGTGGGCGATGCACTGCTCTACGCTATACGCAAGGAGGTGGTCGGGGCCGTGGAGCTGCTGTTGCGTTATAGAAAGCCCAGCGGGGAAAAGCAGGTAACGCTTGGCAAAATTCTACACCGCCTTAAATCTTACGGCCGTCTCTACCTGTTCTCGTCCCACTTTAAAACCTACCTCGTTAGAGTTCCCGTAGCCTAGTGATTAGCGCGCTCGGCTCGCGAGCGAGTGGACCCGGGTTCGATTCCCAGGCGGGGTGAAACATTTGGTAAGTTTCCTTACTCCACACGGACGCCTCTGTTTACCGAGCAGCGAGCAGGTAGTTAGTCAATTGGCAGATCACTTTCCGGGGGTAATAATCCCTCCAAAAAAAAAAATGTGTAAATGGTTTTCCATGGGGGTATGGACGGATAATTGAAGAAGGTATAAAACTGGGGAGGGCGCAGGGTTTAGAGTCAGAACGCCGTTGATCATTTCTGAGGAAATAAAAGTTAGGGTTTGCTTTTCGAACCCGCTCTTAAATTCTCTCCAAACGCTTCAAGGAATCGATGTCACCGACAGGTGAACTTTTCGATCGTAAGTTGATATGCTGGATATGTTAGAAACTATCATAACATTCTTACAATAACGCGGGGAAATGTTCCTGGTGAGGCGTACTCTATCTCAATTGTCTTCTGGCTTGAAGTAGAGCAGTGGAACATCGATTCTCTACTTTATGGTGAAATGCCACGTAACTGAACTGAGTCATGGCTCCAATGTACGACTGTCAGTGGAAACAGGATTCACAGCGCTGTGCTGTCGCAGATCTCCTCAGTCGCTCTCGCTGACAGTCAGTGGGAGGCTGACTGGTCAGGAGGACATCCATCTTGAGAATGGGTGATATCCCTTCTGCACCATGGTTTGCAACGGCACGAAGAAACCATTCACCAGATTCCACCCCCTCCCCGCCAATAGATCGCCGTTAGTAAACAATAGGGTCTTGCACCAATTTAATTGCAAAGCACAGGGATCGCTGCAGTTATTCACAGGAACAGACGTTTTCAGGGCAGAAAGAGTTCTGGTCGACACATCGCTGCCACCTCTCCTGTGTTACTACGTCAGCCTCCAGTCGTTTATTAATCCCATTTCTCTTTCCCCATATCCACTAATGTTCTTAAGCACCAACACAAACCATCTATCCAGATGGATAGATAAGATACATACACGTATGTACATATATTACACACACACGCACCCACACATCACATACACACGCACACACACACATTACATACAAAACAACAACAAAATTACATTTGTATAGCGCCTTTCAAGTTGGGAGCACGTTCCAAGGCGCGCAAACACACACTAACACACATTTCATACACACGTGCACACATACACGTTACATACACACGTGCACACATACACATTACATTATATACTCACACATTACATACATACACAAATACATACACACGTATACACTTACATATATAACTGTATTTTGTAGGGTAACACAGCAGCTAATTTAATTTGGAGCGGTCCCACACTAATCCATTTACACTGGAGAGCTCTGTTTGGTAGCGAAATCGATCCCTCACTCCATGGCTGTTTGTGGCACGTTGCTGTGAATGCATTAGCTGCTGAGTTCGCCTACAAAATACACAGTCGTTGCACAGAGCATCGCTTTCGGTGAAGCAGCTCGAGCTATCCACGTGATGTGAAAGGCTCCGTTAGTATCATTGCCAGCAGCAGAGAATTGGATGAGTGGAGAAGTGGAGGATCTGTGGAACAGAGTGTCTGACTCCTGCTAAAATATTGGTGTATTTTCAGTTTTGTTGGGGTCAGGAGTGTCAGTCACTGGGAATTGAATAGTTTAGGGATTGCAATTCCGGGGGTCGGGAAAGTTGCCAGCAGATACAAACCTGAGATTGGAAAGGTTACTATTTTTACTACATACCATAACATTAGTCATTAGCCTCAGTTTACGCAAACCCTCAAGAGAATACTAAATCACTTCTATTTATACATGTAAAAATTAACATCTCCGAGCACTTTGCATACTATAATAGATTAGAAACGAGGGTGAGGGCTGCTTTGCCAGCAGCGTTGCATTTGGATTTGAAACTGCATCGTATCACCTTGGCAAGATGCTTCAAAGCGCTTCGCAGGATTGCGTTGTGAAGTCTAGTGACTGTGCGTTTTGTGGGCAAATGCGGCGGTCAATTTGCGCACTGCGACGACCCGCTAACAGTTGACGAGCAGCTGATAGATTCGAATTTTGTGGGTAAATTAGGGACGAGGGAAAAGGAATATAAACCAGGAGAGAGACTTCACGTTTCTCTGTAAACAAGCGTCCTTTTAATGACTACATGAAGCACAAGGCCGACGGAATCTAAATCAATAACGCAATCAAATACCGCGATGGAAATCTCAAAATAGCTAATGTGCTTTGCGCACAATAAAGATTGCTGTTATATAGGAAAAAGTAGCAGAAAATCTTCACTGGGACCCATTTAAGAAACAGCTTCATGCTGTCGGTCGGTGGGCGGCTATACTGAAAGCAAATGGGTCTTCTTCATCTGCTCTGACCTTGTGTGTTCGGTGGCTTGTCCTTGTTTTGACCCTCTTGATCCTCACGATGCTCCTCACTCTCCCTCTTGTCTCGGGCAGGTCCCTCCTTTACTGATGGATGCCCAGTTCTCGGAATTCACTCCCGACATCACGCCCATCATGCTCGCTGCCCACACCAACAACTACGAGATTATCAAGCTTCTGGTCCAGAGGGGGGTCTCCATCCCTCGTCCCCACCAGGTGAGGTGCAACTGCGTGGAGTGTGTGTCCAGCTCGGAGGTGGACAGCCTCAGGCACTCACGCTCACGGCTGAACATCTACCGGGCCCTGGCCAGCCCCTCGTTGATCGCCTTGTCCAGTGAGGACCCCATCCTCACCGCCTTTCAGCTGGGCTGGGAGCTGAAGGAGCTGAGCAAGGTGGAGAACGAGTTCAAGGCTGAGTACGAGGAGCTGTCCCAGCAGTGCAAGCGCTTTGCTAAAGATCTGCTGGACCAGGCTCGCAGCTCCAGGGAACTGGAGATCATACTGAACCACAGAGATGACCAAAGTGATGAGTTGGACCTGCAGAAATGCCACGATCTCGCCAAACTGAAGCTGGCTATCAAGTACCACCAGAAGGAGGTAGGAATGCGATGCGGTCGGGTCTGCCTGTGATGTAAGCAGATTTCCCCCCCCTCCCTCCAACCCCTCTCGCCCTCTCTCCCTCCCTCCCTTCACTCCCTCCGCCCATCCTCGAATATGCTCCATACTCTCTTTCCAAACATTACAGTGTGTTCAGCCTGTCTGCTCAGATCTCATCTATAATCGTGCTGCATTCATGTCGGCGATGCTGTCTTTCGGACGAGATGTTAAACCCGGGTCCCACCCGTGTCTGTTGAGGTAGATGTTAAAGATCCCAATACAAACGTTCAAAACAGGAGAAGGGAGCTTCCTTCTCCCGATGTCCTTGCCCAATGATCCTCTATGCAAACTCGGCTGGTGGGACCTGAATCCCTCCGTCTCTGGTTGCGAATCGACTGGATATTTTGCTTTTCCCCAAAAAATTCGTACAATCTATTTGCCTTATGGTGCGCGGCGCTTTGAGACGTCTCAATGACGCGACAAGGCTCTGTATCGATTGTAAGGATTAATATTCAAATGGATTTTTTCTGCCCTCTGCTCTCCGCAGTTCGTGGCTCAGCCCAATTGCCAGCAGCTGTTGGCCACCCTGTGGTACGATGGGTTCCCAGGCTGGCGTCGCCGACACTGGGCTGTCAAGCTCCTCACCAGCTTCACCATCGGCTTCCTGTTTCCGGTGCTTTCCACCGTGTACCTGGTGGTGCCGAAGAGCCGGCTGGGACTGTTCATCAAGAAACCCTTCATCAAATTCATCTGCCACACCGGCTCCTACCTGACCTTCCTCTTCCTCCTACTGTTGGCGTCTCAGCACATCGCCAAGACGGACCTCCACATGCAGGGCCCTCCCCCAACCATTGTGGAGTGGTTGATACTGCCGTGGGTTTTAGGTAATCCTCGTTGTTGGCTTTGCTCCCCTCCCTCTTCCGAACGTTCGGAATATAGCGGAATTTTTTTCCGGCTCGAAAACAGGCCGTTCGGCCCATTGAGTCTGCGCTGGTGTCTCTCTCCACATCAGCCACTGGTCTAATCCCACTCTCCTTGCTCTTCCCCCCCACCCCTCTCCACCCAATACCTACACTGTTTGATATTTCTTCTGGTCAAAAACGGCAGGAAAAAAACCCAAAACAACTTTGCACGTTTTTCCACCTGAACTCCCCTTTAATTCCATTTGTGATGGTCTTAAAGGTGTGCCCCCTCCTGGCGATCAATGGAGAGATCTGTTGCTGTTCAGTTATGAATGGGAACAAGCCATGTCTGGGCACTGCTGGCCAAGGGGGTGGGGGCTGCGGCTCGGCAGCTGATGTCCTATAGAACCCCGAGCCTCCTTGCCTCTTGTAGACGTACACAAAGGTGATCTTTCCTTCTCAGGTTTCATTTGGGCCGAGATCAAAGAGATGTGGGATGGCGGGTTCAACGAGTACATCCACGACTGGTGGAATCTCATGGACTTTGCGATGAACTCCTTGTATCTGGCCACCATCTCGCTCAAGATTGTTGCTTACGTGAAGGTGAGTGGTCAGTGTATGGACCTGCCTGGCTTGCTTGAGAGGTAGCACTCGCTGCTTTGGGTCGGGATGTTGAGCTCACAGTCTAAGCTGACGTTCCAGCGCAGTGCTGGGTGGGTGGGGGGGTGTTGGCGGGTTGGGGAGAGGGGGCTGCTTTGCCAGAGGCACCATCCTTTGGGTATGACCGATGCCCCATCTGTGCCCTGTTCAGGTGGACGTTACAGATCCCGACAATCTCAATCTGCCATTCACTTTAAGACCATTTGTGGGACAAAAATTGTCCCGTCTACACACCACTCATCAGCAATCCCCCGAGAAGCGCTTTGGGATATTTTGACATATTAACCATAGAAATACAAGGATAATTTCTATTATTATTTTCCCTCAATCCTTCCGCCTTGCTCCCTTTCCCAAGACCGCCTGAAAACCTTCCTCTTCGATCGTGCTTACAGTCACCTCTCCACACCCCCCCCGCCCCCCCCGGATCGGAGTCAGGCTCTGCCACCGTTAAGTGCTTTGAAACACTACTCTGTGTAGAGGGCGATATATAAGTGCAAGTTGTTGTTGTATGAGTCCAAAGGGGCTTCTTTATGCATACCTTCCTCATGATAATAATAATAATCCTTGCATTTGATGCAGCGCCTTATCACGTCACTGAGACGTCTCAAAGCGCTTCACAGAATATACTGTAAAGTGAATTGACTGTATATTTGTGGGCGAAACGCGGCAGCCGATTGCGCACAGCAGCGTCCCACAAACAGTTGTGGATCGAAGGGCCAAATTATTATTGTTTTTTTCTTGAGGGATTATTATCAGATGTGTGTGTGGAGTAAGGAAACTTGCCCAAAGTTTTGCCGGGAATCGAACCCAGGTCCTCTCGCTTGCGAGGCGAGCGCTCTAACCACTGAGCTACAGGACTCCATTTGACGATGACTTGATACCTTGTGCTTTTGTTTTCAAGTATAATGGCTCCCGGCCACGGCAGGAGTGGGAGATGTGGCACCCCACACTGATTGCAGAAGCCTTCTTTGCGATCGCCAACATCTTCAGCTCTCTGCGCCTGATCTCCCTGTTCACCGCCAACTCCCACCTGGGGCCGCTGCAGATCTCCCTGGGCCGCATGTTGCTGGACATCCTCAAGTTCCTCTTCATCTACTGCCTGGTGCTGCTGGCCTTTGCCAACGGACTCAACCAGCTGTACTTCTACTACGAGACCAGCGCTTCTGAAGAGCCGAATAACTGCAAAGGCATCCGGTGTGAGAAGCAGAACAACGCCTTCTCCACGTGAGTTAGCTCACTCGCTCTGAGCCAACAAGTTTGGATTGAAAACCATTAAAACTATTGGTCCTTCTTCCACTGACCCAAGTGGGTAAGAGTCCCACACTCAAGTGCAGTACTGGGCACTTAGAGAGTGAGCCATTGGTAAACCCTTGCCAGAGGGAATGAAAAGGAAAATTCTACGTCAGAGGAGTCAATCCCTCAGCGAAATGTAATCAGAAAGATTAAATTAGCTCCGGTTAGTGAATCAACAGGCCAGAGCCTTTCACACACGTCTCATTACACACCAGGAGTTCCACTCACTCAGCCAGGTCCCCACCCAATCTCTCCGCTCCCACTCACACCCACCCACCCCCCCAATCCCTCCGCTCCCACCCACACCCACCCCCTCTGCTCCCACCCACCCAGGTTTAATAAGATAGCTCCGTCAAGTGTACGTTTATCAGGACTTCAAGGAGAGGTTTGAGTGAGGAAGTCCATTTCGTATATTTGATTCCATTTTTCACTCCCCATGTCAGTCTGTGTTTCTTCCCTTGTCCCCCCACATCTCCCCTACCTCTCTTTTCTCTCTGTGTCTGTCTCTCTCTCCCCATGTCTCTCTTTGGCTCTCATTATTTCTGTACCCATCTCTTTCTCTCCGTGTCTCTCTCTCTCTCCCCAGGGCCTCTTTGTGCCCCTTGTCTCTCACTCTTTGTGCCTTGCTCTCTGGCAGGCTGTTCGAGACCCTGCAGTCGCTCTTCTGGTCAATCTTCGGGCTGTTGAACTTGTACGTGACTAACGTGAAGGCTCGGCACGAGTTCACAGAGTTTGTTGGGGCCACGATGTTCGGGACTTACAACATCATCTCTCTGGTCGTCCTCCTCAACATGCTGATCGCCATGATGAACAACTCCTACAAGCTCATTGCGGTCAGTCCTTAATAATAATCCTTGCATTTGAGACAGCGCCTTATCACATCATTGAGACGTCTCAAATCGCTTCACAGTACACATTGTAACATGAACTGACTGTATTTTGTGGGAAAAATGTGGCAGCCAATTGTGCACAGCGATGTCCCACAAACAGTCGTGGATTGAGGGATTATTAGCCCCGGAAAGTAACCCGCCAATCGACTAACAACCATTACCGCCCCTATGTATTGCGAGGTAAACGGAGGCGTGTGGAGTAAGGAAACTTGCCTAAGGTTTTGCCCCATCTGGGAATCGAACCCGGGTCCTCTCGCTTGCGAGGCGAGGGCGCTGACCACTACGCTACGGGACTCCACGACTTGGGATCAGTTCTATTTGGTAGAACAGAAAGAGGGACGGGGAGATGTTGATATTAATGTGATATTTCCCATGTGTGTAAATCAAAGTTATTATTTTTATTACGCTATGACTCCTGACATGGGGTGGGGGGAAGGAGAGGGGCTGGTCAGGTGTACAGGAGACAGCAGTCAGGCCAGGGGAAAACACTGTCTTGCGTTCCGGCTTCGATCAGTGCTCCGGCACACACAGGGTTAAGGTCTCTGACATTATTTCACGGCTCACTGGCTCTGTACCAAACCCAGTGACATTTCAGAGGAGGATGATATACCTTTAGGTTTGGGCTCAGTCTTGGCCAAGTTCTCTTCTGAATGACTGAACATTGCTGACCTGTCACTCTCTCCCACGGTCACACAGATGAGGAACCTAATAATAATAATAATCCTTGCATTTGATAGAGCGCCTTATCGTGTCGTTGAGCCGTCTCAAAGCGCTTCACAGAATATACTGTAAAGTGGAGTGACTGTATTTTGAAGGTGAAACGCAGCAGCCAATTGCGCACAGCAGCGTCCCACAAACAGTCATGGATTGAGTGATTTTGTGGAGCAATTATTACCCCCCGGAAAGCGATCCACCAATCGACCAACGGCTGGGTTCCTACTTACTGCTCGGGAAACAGAGGGGTGTGGATAGACGAGAGTACAGAGTTCTCTGATCAGCATCGCTCCTGTGATTGTCATTTCCAGGACCATGCGGACATTGAGTGGAAGTTTGCGCGGACGAAGCTGTGGATGAGTTATTTCGATGAAGGAGCCACACTGCCGCCTCCGTTCAACATCATCCCCAGCCCCAAGTGCATCTGGTACCTGGTCAAGTGGCTCCACGCTCAGGCCTGCCCCAAGAGGTGCTCCGAGGACGAGCAGAAGAAGCACGAGAACCTCCGAGAGTTCACAGTACGTTTCATTTCAGAGCTCGGCAGCTTCATGTCACCCACCATTAAGCGCTACCCCTCTCCCTCTCACGCCAATTAGTGACCAGTAAGAATCATAATAATGCTTGGCTTTGACATAGCGCCTAATCACATCATGTGACGTCTCAAAGAGCGTCACAGGATCCACTGTAACGCGGATTGACCGTATTTTGTGGGCGAAACTCGTCAGCCAACAATACTTGCGTGTGATACAGCGCCATTCCCATCGGGGAGACATCTCAAAGCGCTATGTAGGACTTACCCTAAAGTGTGGGGATTGTGAATCTGTAGAAAAAATGTGGAAGCGCACAACGACATTCCTCCCACGTGAAATGGAAGGGTTAAAATGGATGGATTCTTGCCTTTAGTCACCGGGGCTGACATGGTGGGGGGGTGGGGGGGGAGGGGGGTGAGGAACAGTTCCAGAAACCATGTTCAGGGATTGCGTTCTCAGCAAAAGAAATTCTGAAAGTTTTTAATCATTTGTGGCCTACAGGAACGGCATGCAGATGACTTGATCCAGAACCAACATTACCAGGTAAAGTGGAGTTGCTTCACATCAACTCCTGGAGGGAGGGAGGGTGGGGGTGTGTATAGTTTGCGAAGGGAGAGAGTCAAAACTTGGCAATTCTTGGTGTCAGCCATCTCAGGTGCAAGCTCGTATCCCACTGCCTCTTTGCAGTGCTCGTGAACAGCCCCTTCCACTGCTTGTCTGTTTATCTTGAGAGACAGAGACACTTAACCTTCAGTAACTGTGGAATAACAGTTGGTAAAGGCCTAATGTGCGACTGAGGTCTACAGCAAAGCTCATTTGATCTCCGATCTATGCTGGGTTGACTTATCTCAGCCAGGCCAGCAGCAGGGGTGAAGCAAATTGGCTTCAGATGATGAGTTGGGGTGGTGACTGGGGGAGGGAAGAAGATCAGGGGAGATGGTTGTCACTTGATAAGTAACTTAATAATAATCCTTGCATTTGATAGCACCTTTCCTGTCTTCTAGATGTCTCAAAGCGCTTGACAGAATATACTGTAATATATACTGTGAATTGATTGTATATTTATGGGCAAAATGCAGCAGCCAATTGCACAAAGCAGTGTCCCACACCCAGTTGTGGATTGAGTGACCAAATTATTATTAGTAGTATTTTTTTTTGAAGGATTATGTAGAGAATAAAGACGAGGCAAAACTAAAGTCCAATTCTATTTAATGTAAAAAGCTCATAAGTCAAGTTCCCGATGGGTGTGGGCAAGTAAGTACAATTGATAGATCCACCAAAAAAACAAGACTACCAGTTTATAAGTCTTCTGTCAGGTTTTCACTACGGAGGCTTCCTTCAATGTTCAAGCTTTCAGTCTTCCATCACCAGTAGATATTGTCTTGGAGACCCGGTCTCAGAGGGCCCCCGAACAAAGGGTTGAATGGACTTTTATGCTCACTTACATCCAATCATTATTGGATCACATGGCCCAAATCACACTGGGTTCACGTGAACATCTCATGGTGTGTCCGTGCAGCAGCACCCACATATTGTCCTTGAGACACTCACGTTACCTTGAGCGTACGTGCAGTAGTCCACATCTTGTCCTTGATTGCCACTCAAGATCACATGAGTGTCTGATGGGTTTCAGTCTGGTTGCCCCCATACTTAACTTAAAAGTTGACCCTTTTGCAATATCTATTATGATTCTAACATTATACAAAAAGTATAAATTCTAACAATTATTATCCCCAGAAAAGCAATCCGCCAATTGACCAGGTTCCTTTTTACTGCTAAGTAAACAGAGGTGCGTGTGGAGCAAGGAAACTTGCCCAACATTTCGTGCTGCTGGGACTAGAACTCAGATCTCTCACTTGCGAGGCGAGTGCTCTAACCACTGAGCCACAGGACTCCAGATGGTTCAAACAAAGCATCTCATCGTTTGAAAAGATGTTGCGGTACTAATTAGCAACATGCAGTGACAATGACAATCTTAACGCTTTCTCTCTCGCTCTGTGTGTGTGCGCCGTGACAGGAGGTTATTAAAAATCTAGTCAAAAGATACGTGGCAGCGATGATCAGAAGTGCCAAAACCGATGAAGGGCTGACAGAAGAAAATTTTAAGGTAAAAAAAAGTTACACTTGTGTGGTGTCTCCATTTGGACGAGTGGATAACATGCTCACTGATTGACAGGTGATCTACAAGAAGGGAATTTGTTGGCCTGGAGATTGGAGGGGGAGATACAATAATAATACTTACGTTTGATAAAGTACCTTATCGTGTCATTCAGACGTCTCAAAGCGCTTTGCAGAATATACTGTGAAGTGGATTTGACTATTTTGTGGGTGAGACACGGCAGCCAATTGCACACAACAATGTCCCACAAACGGTTGTGGATTGAGTGACCAGATTTTTTTTTTTTTTTTTTTTTGAAGGGATTATTACCTCCAGAAAACAATCTGCCAATTGACTAACAACCAGGTACCTACTCACTGCTGGGTAAACGGGTGTGTGTGTGGAGTAAAGAAACTTGCCCTAAGTTTCACCCGGCCCCGGGAATCAAGTTTGGGTCCTCTCACTTGAGGCGAGCGCATTAACCACCACACTACAGGTCTCCTTAGTTTGATTAGAGGGGAGGCAACAATCAAAGGCTCTCTGGGTTTAGTGTTTAGAAATTCCTACCTCTGTCTGTGCTTGACTGTAGTAACTGGGTTTTGTGTGGCTACAGGAGCTGAAACAGGACATTTCCAGTTTCCGCTATGAGGTTCTGGACCTCTTGGGGAACAGAAAGTCCTCTCGCAGGACCTACTCGACTAGCAGTGATGGGGTGCAGATGGGGGATATGGAGGAGGGCGGAGCAGAGGAGAACAAGATCGTGTCCTTCAGCCTGGCAGGAGAGGCCAGCGACAAGAGGCTGAAGATGAACTCGTTCAGAGTTTCGGCCCTCATCAAGTCGGTATCGGGCATCGCGCTCAGCGAGGACAGCTCCAAAAATAACGGGCTGAGCAAGCAGTCGGCGGCAGTGAGGAACGGCAACTGCTTTCAGGGCAACAAGAAGGACTCGTTCAAGAGGTTGGGGCTGCTGTTCAGCAGGATGAACGGGCAGCTGGCCGAGCCCAGCCCCGAGCCCGTGGCCACCGTCTCTGACGGTTTGGTGCAGGCACACGGCATGTGGCAAGACTTCAAGTACTCGCAGATCTCTAGCCCAGGCGATGTGACCAGGAGTGAGGGCAGCCTGGACGCCGTGGGGCTCGTGCCTCAGGTCATCAGAAAGAACGGAATCGATAGCCATTGCCCTGCCAACCGTAGTGACTCCTTCCACTGTTCTTCCAATAACTGTGCCTCCAACAACAAACTGATCGACTCAGCCGATGATGTGTACAACTCGTGGGGCGAAGCCTGTGACCTGCTCATGACCAGCTGGAAGGCTGGGCAGGAGGACTATGTGACCACCCAGTTGTAACACACGCTCGTGTTCTCCCACCCACGCCCCCGGGTATCATTCCTGCTGTGGGAAACCTGGGACTGTTACCTATAAGCAATTATTTTTAAAAACTTCCGTTAAACATTTAAGTGTCACAGCTGATGCACAAGCACGTGCTTCCTGTAGATTAAAGGCCAAAAAACCCTTTGGTGTCGGGTGAATCCGTAACTGAAGGACATCAATAATAATAATAATACAATGAACAACTCCTACCAGCTCATCGTGGTCAGTCCTTAAAGTAATAATCCTTGTATTTGATACAGCACCTTATCGTGTCTTTGAAACAGTTCCAAGCGCTTCACAGAATATACTGTAAAGTGGAGTGACTGTATATTTTGGGGTCAAAACATAACAGGAAATTGGGCCCAGCAGTGTCCCACAAACAGTCATGAATTGAATGACCAAATTATTATTAGTAGTTTTTTTCCCCAGTGATTATTATCATCAGCCTAATTCCTGACCCTCTGGTCCTGCTGTGTATATGGACGGGTTAAAGTGTTTCACACATCCCTTTTGTGACAGATTGGATTGCTCGAGTAAAGCGTTATGGTGTTGTCCCTGTGGACACCAAGCACATGGTAAGTAGGATTCTCTCGACACAATTAGTTATAATTTTGAACATCACTTTCCTGCAGGGTCAGTTTTTCCCTGTGAACTTCAGATTAAACCCAACAGCCGGCATGTGGAGTGAGCGGCTTTGAAGTGAGGACAGATTGTATTTGATCTTATTTTTTGCTTCTGGAAGCCTCGAGCTTTTTTCTCTCTTTAACAGCACAGAGGGAACAGATCTGCTACTTTTCCACATGAAGAGATTTTTTTTTAGTCCAGGAGGGGGCAAGGGGACACACACAGTTTAGTCCCTCCACCTGGACTGAGAATGTCTCTTCGGGTGTCGAAGAGACATTTTGCAGTTTTAAATCTGCCCAATCTCACTCAATAAGCTCGCTGTGCCCTCAGGTCTCAACATTTGAGATTTTACACAGACGGACGCTGAAGCCAGGCAATTCAGTATATGCAGAGAAAACAAAACTTTCAAGGAAAAAAAAAGTCAAGTCTCCACAACTAATGCTAGAGAGGGCATTTCTCCTGCCACTAAATAAATTCACCTCTGGCTGGGCACATATTGGCTGCTGTGCTCACCTCCCACAAATAGCCACTACATTCAGTAAATCAGTCACATCAATGTTATACGCACTGCACCAAAGCACGTAGATCTCTATTCCATCAGCAGATCCAGTGCTCTCAGCTACCAGGCACCAAACTCTGCAGGTCCCTTCACCTTACCATACTCCTTCCCCATTTTCACATCGTGCCTCAAGACCTTTCTCCTCGACTGTCTACGGTCACCTCCTCCAGGCTCAACGTCAGGCTCTGTTAAGCGCTCCGAGATGTTACGTGAAATGAACATAAATGCAAGTTGTTGTTGCTGAGCATTTGATTGAGTGAATGACTGAGTCAACATTGGGACTACGTGATCCAGTGCTGAACATACCCAGAAAGTAAAGGCGATCGCTCTTGGGTACAGCTTACAAGCTTGAACACGTCAGTGACACATTAATAATAATAATAATCCTTGCATTTGATACAGTGCTTTTCACATCGGGAGGACGTCCCAAAGCGCTTCACAGAACACACTGCAAAGTGAATTGACTGTATATTTGTGGGCGAACGCGGCAGCCAATTGCGCACAGCAATGTCCCACAAACAGTCGTAGATTGAAAATGACCAATTTATTATTGTTTTTGGAGGGATTATTAGGCTCTGTGTGGAGTAAGGAAACTTGCCCAAGGTTTCGCCCTGTCTGGAATTGAACTCTGGTCTCTCGCTTGCAAAGCGAGTGCTCTAACCACTGAGCTACAGGACTCCATGTTACATTAGTAACATGCGAACAGATCATGTGTATAAAGTACACACACTTTAAGGGCGCAATGCCACTGAGCGAGGTGACTGGGACGGCAGTTTGTAGCTGCAACATGAGCCATTGGTCTTTTGAAAGCAGGACACAGACACATGCTGCCTTGCTTAATGTTTATTTTCTGAATTTTTTTTCCCTCTTTTTTAAATAAACAACAACCCACAACCTTCGCGTGACAAAAGACCAGGAAACCACATTGGGTCACAACAGACCAAACCCCTCAACATCTCCCGCCCAACACAATGAAGTGGAAGACGCCAAAGCTTACTTTAGGTCTAGTCTCCTCTCCCGCTCATACAAATCTCCAATGAAGAAACCTTTCACGAAAGGATCACAAACTAGGAACTGACATTTCAATCTCCCGAGTGTTTCTCAGCATGAGGTAGAAGTTTACTGATTGTACGTCAGCTAAACCCAGAAGTGGATTAAAGTGACTAATGGGGAGGGGGTGGAGATGAGATCGTACCTGAAGAACGTCATCGAGGAGATGACCACTGAGAACTCAAACGCTAGACAGCGACAGAGAAGAAACATCCCCCAAATTGTGGCCCAGAGCGGAGATAGAGAACCTCACAGAGTGAGTGTAAGGCTTGGCGAGAGATGAAGGGCAAGCATGCCCAAGCTGGTCTGAACCCCAAAAATTTACCTCCAATAAATTACATCTTCAAAGAGAAAGGGGACAGGAAGAGGGGAAGAACAAACAGTGGACAGTGATCTACTCTTAACCATGTAGGAAATCTTTTAGACATACATTTCCCTTCCCCCCTTCACCTCAGTGAGGTACATAATTTGGGGGTTGGGGTTGGCCGGTAGGTGTGTAGTTCATCTGCGGAGGAGGAGGTGCTGGGCAGCTCATGGCTTGGAGCGGAGAGGAATTGTTCTGCATTTGGTTGACTGGATACCAGGGTCCCATGTAGTGGAAGGTGGGAGCCACAGGGATGCAAGGATCATAGGTGGACATGGATGTCTGGATGCAAGGGTCGGTCAGCACTGGGTAGTACACCGTGGTGTGGGGGAGAGGTTGGGGCTCAGCTGCCAGGTAGGAACCTGCAAGAGACATTAGATCCCCATCAACAATAATCTCTGCATTGGATACAGCGCTCGAGCACGTCGTCAAGATGTCTCAAAGCGCTTCACAGGACATAGTGTAAAGTGAAATGACTATATTTTGTGTACAAGATAACATCGATTCACATGCTGTGTGGCAGTGTTATGGTCTGGCTGACACATTGCTGGAAGCCATTTAGAAGCTACTTCTACAGTGAGATTCAAATTAATATAATAATCTCTGCATTTGATGTAGTACCTTATCACGTCGTTGAGACGTGTCAGACCGCTTCACAGGATATACTGCGAAAGGTGAATCGACTATATTTTGTGGGCGAAAAGCAACAACAAGGGGATTTGGAAAACAGCAAAAATCACAATACGACTGAACATTGAGGAATTAAATTGAGTGAAGAAATACTGCAAAACAGACCTAAATGTGGGATGGGTGGGTCTGACCAAACCCGTCGAGTCTCACCCCCTTCTCTAGCATTTAACCTCGCAGAGAACATGAAAGTGTTAAAAACTTACCGTTGCCCACGGAGTCCACAGGGCTGTGATGCTCCTCACTCCTCCCAACCTCGCCATACAGCTGTGACATGGGCGAGTGGTCTGTGGGCTGAGGGGGTCCGGGGAAAGGCGAGTAGATATCCTGCGCTGCTGGTGGCTGCTGCACATACACTGACTGCCAGTAGCTTTGGCTGCAACACTGAAGGAGCAGAACTTGCATTTTTATAGCGTCAAAAATTTGACATTTATAATAATCCTTGCATTTGAATTAGCGCCTTATCATGCCTTTGAGACAACAACTTGCACCTCACCCTCCACACAGGGTAGCGCCTCAGAGCGCTCAACAGTGCTGGAGCCTGACTGAGCCGGGGGGGAGGTGGCTGTAAGCGCAGTCAGAGATGTCTCAAAGTGCTTCACAGGATGCACTGTAAAGTGAATTGACTGTCTATTTTGTGAGCAAAACACAGCAGCCAGTTACACACAGCAGTGTCCCACAAGCAGTTGTGGATTGAGTGACCAAATTATTATTTTTGAAGCATTATTACTACCAGGAAAGCAATCCGCCAATTTGACTATCAACTGGGTTCCTACTTCCTGCTAGGTAAACCGGTGTGTGGAGCTAGGAAACTCTCGCAATGTTTCACCCTGCCCGGGAATCAAACCCAGATCCTCTCGCTTGTTAGGCAAGTGCTCTAACCACTGAGCTACGGGACTCCACAATGAAGGAATGATTCAAACAAAGTTTAAAAAGAAATCAAACCTCCCTGGATACTTTTATACACTATATAGAGTACACAGAAACACACACAGGAGTCTTTAAAAGAATGTTACCTACAAAGCAAGCAAATTTGCATTTGAAAATCTATTTCCTTTTACAGCAATTCCCTACATAGGGCGAGAAGGGACTATCCGTTTCTCTAGGATTTGTTACAAAGAGTTTTCTCCCAACCTCTTGCCAATGAGGCAAGGCTCGGGCTCCTGGCCAGCAATCATAGCCAAGATCACGTACTCACAGCTTTACAGTGGAACCCAATTGACCAAGACTGACAATGCACAGACCCACAGAAGCTGAAATGGCTGCCGACAAAAATTGATCCCAATTCCTTTCACTGAATGCAGGTGAAGGCAGCGAACCACAGAGCACCACCTCATCACGAGGACCGGGGGGGTGGATGATTTGGAAGGAGGGAAGGTTGCTTTTTAGCTCCAATCTTCTACCCCCAACCTTAAACTCCCTCCCTCTCACTCTGCCTATGTTCTTTCTCTCCCCTCTCAACACCTTGGTACGTCCTCCCGACGTGAAAGGAATTTTACAAATGTAATTTTGTCGTCTTCAAGTCCCATCTCAAACACGCTTCCCTATATTTCTCACCCACTCCACCCGGCTTCTGACTCCTCCCCTCCAAAGCACTCTGAGACGTCACCCTACGCAAAGGTGCTATGTAAATACAATTAGCTGTGACCAAACTGACCTGCAGACCCAGGTTGAAGTAATATTGGACAACTTTTTTATCTAGAAAGAGTAAAAGCAAAAGTTGGTTAGAACAATCAGCACTTAAACCTCTTCACACTGAGCAACTGTGGTGCTGTCGGGGGGGGGGGGGAAAAGGTGGGTGGTTGGCAGGGGGTAAGGAGAGTGTGTAATGGTGGGGGGGGCGGAAGAGAAGGAAAGAGGGTCTTACCTTGTGGGAGGTCGTTGCCATTGGGGTCAAAGGAGTACGGTGGCAGCACAGGAGGACTCAGAGGTTCTCCCATCCCGTTGGCAGGCCCTGAACGCAACGAGGACAAGTTTAAGGACTTCAACTGTGCCAAGCAGCAGCTCACAGAACAGCACTGACTATTCTCTTGATTGGCCAGAAACCCACAAACAGCCAGTTGTGGCCAAACGGCAAAGAAAATCTACCCCACAGGTTTGTAACTTAAAAACCTTGTGACCTTCTAATTGGGATCTAGGTGCACAAACACAGGCAGATGATGTTAAACTGTGTGGGTCTGTGCAACTCCACACCGAGCTGTCCACTCAGGGATTCTGGCTTGCTCCATGTCCCACCGCCCTCCCCACCTTTCGGAACTCCATCCCACAGTCCTTTGGCCTCGTTCCCTTGGATTAGCCCATGGCCTGGCTGGCTTTCCTGCAGGTGGCACAAAGCCCACCAACATAGCAGCCATGTTCCAGGAGCCACTGGAAAACCTTGTGAGATGCTAGTGTTGACCATTCAGCTTCCTGCCAGCAAGTACTGCATGGTCTAATGATTGCAAAGTGCTGACCTGTGGGTATTTACAGGGTTGGGGGGGCTGGACTGATTTTAATGGACCCAAAGCATTGTGTTATATAACAGGCTCTGACCACGCAATACCAAACACATTTAAAGCAGTCTGAGTGAGCATCGAAGCAAAAAACATAAATCATAAGCTATCTGCTGAATGATTACTGTTACACAAAAGCTTAAGGTCCTGCTCGACAGCCACAAAACATGAATTTGCAAACAGACTGCAGCATGAAAACAGAAGACTTTTCTCCACCAAAAAAAAACAAACCCTCTCTAATCTGGACCAGAAGTTTACTCCTCAACTTGATCTGGACAGAGGTTTATAGAACAAGCCCCAGTTAACAAACAATATATTACATTTACACAGCGCCTTTCACGTAAGGAGGACAGCCCAAGGTGCTGGACAGTCAGGGATTTGGACCTGAGCTTGGGTGGTGGGGGAGGGCAGAGGTAGGAGGGTGACTGAAGGCATGGTCAAAGAGGAAGGTCTTGAAACACTGGTTTCATTCTTTCTCCCACCACAATATCACACCTGGCCATATGGAGACTAGAAGTCTGCCAGGGGGAAATGTTAAGCATATTCAGAAGATTTTCTCCATCTGAATATCTGTCCAAGATTAAAGGTGACCCCCCCTCCCACCACCAGCGCTGGTGAGAAGCAACAAAACATTGGCTGCAGCCACTTTATTGCAAGGCTAGTAGAAGAGCAACATCTACTGGACATCTGGAAACTGCAAGAATCATTATTGATTCAAGGATTTGCAGCCAATACCTTTCGCACTGGCAGGACAACGCCTCAAAGCACTTCACAGGATTTACTGTAAAGCGTAGTGACTGGTGGCAAAATTCCCTACTCAATATAGTTTCTCTCCATGTTGTAAAGAGAGAGTCCTAGGAACAATTTGGGCTGTTTCTTAGCAAAATGAATTGGGAGGGTGGGGAGATTTTGGGAAGGTGCGGGGGGAAAGTGGAAAGAAGTATGACTACTTCCCCACCCCACCAAAACACAACCTTAGCCCAATCGCAGACAAAGCTGCTGTACGACTTAGTGATTTTATCCCCAAGGGAACAGCACCAAGGAATAAACCCAGCTGACTGACACTTTACAGATTTCATTCAGTCTTAGCGCAGTGACGGAGCAAACTAGCGAACGCCTTGTGCTGCATGTTCACACCTGGTCTCCCAACTGGTTGAGGTGACACGAGGATGGGCGACATGCCAGGCTGCTGAGATGCGTTGCTGAAGGTCATGGTTGTCTGGCAGCTTTCTGCCGAGTGAGAGAAGCCAGCCATGGGCACTGCACTGACACCGGTTGAAGCCACTGGCACACTGCCAATCACCTAGATTAAAACAATGTCCGTTAGCGGCAAAACAGTAGCCAATTTATACACAGTGAAGGACTCATTTGGGAGATTGTGGGTCAGGAGCTCTTGCCTTTTCCAATAAAAGGAACAGGAGGAGGCCATTCAGCCCATCCAGGCTGTTACACCAGTTTATTAGGGCAGCCAGGGTTTAGTGACCTTGTACACACTTCCTCTCCCCCTCTACATAGAGAGAAAGAAACTATCTTGCCCACCTGGTTACAACAGGCACATGCTGATATGTTTCACAATACGGGGAAGGAAGGAACAGACAGTAAAATGAGGGTGCAGCAAGCTGGTTTGCGCAAACAGTTACTGACATTTTGATGGCATTTAATGCTGGTTTATAGACCAGAAACAAGAGGAGCCTCCACTGAGCGCATAGCGTACCTGCTGTGAGTAAGCAAAGTGATTGCCAAGCTGGCCCTCCTGGGGAGGCTCTGCACCAGAGGTCTCTTCCTGAATCGACTGCAAAATAAACCAAGCAGTCAGTCAGTGTTACAATTAGCATCACAGCCACATTACTAGGGTACAAGTTTGATTCAGAAATATAATCTTATTAATAAGTGCACACTGTACAGGATAAGATACTAGAGGGAGAGACGCAGTATATTTTGGCCCTTTCATTTGTGAGTTAGGGATTTGTTACGTTGGTTTTCAAAACAATCTCCTCCCCCACGATATATTGCCTGAACAGCGCGATGCTCTGATGACCAGGCTGTCCATAAGGTGAGGCCAACTTGTGCATTTAATTCACAGACAAAGTGCAGTGACTGTTTGTAGGGGAACGAGGCAACTTTGTCCATTAATGTCATTAAAATCCCACTCAAACTAAACACCTCCATCAGGTCTCCTCTCAATGTTGTGTTCTGGTGAAAACAGTCCCACTTTCTCTAGTCATAGAGAAAGTCTTTCCCCCCCAGTTCATTGCAAGTGACCCTCCTCTGTGCTCTTTACATGACCTAGATATCCTTGCTACAGTTGAGTAACCTGGAACTGGACATGGGCGTTTCAACCTCAGTCTAACCAACAAGTTATCATCACCTCCTGTATTTTCTGCCCCCGTTTGGAAACCCAGGATCCCACAACAGTTTTAATTCAGTTTAAAATCGACTGGTTCTGATGGCTTCGAAAGCCTGGGTGAAGACCAGTCATTGATGTACAAGATCAGAACCAAAGCCAAGATTCCTGCCTTCAATCTCCCAGCTGTTCTCACTTCCTCTGATATGTTCCCACTTAAAGCTTGGCTACCACGTGGATCAAAGAGCAATGAGATGTTAGTAATGCGTAAAACCTAAAGCCTGAAGCCAGCAGCTATTATCCATACTTCAGACAGAGATGAGTCAGCCCCAGCTTAGAATTGTACAATATCAAATCAGAAATTGGTAACTTATCCCTCTTAGCATTACAATAAGTCCAATAAAGGCCTCTGATTACTTGGACACCCACCTCCAGTTACACAATTGTACATTGACAGAGCAATTATTCCATCTGCTAATGCAGCGTAACAGCTTTATTTGCCCTGGGCACTGCAGTCAGCATCTGTTCCTCACACCTTTGTGGTCTCAAGGCAGGTTCCAGACCAGAGAACAAGCTTCCCAGCAACTCACACTGAAGGTCTTGAACCCCTTTGGGAAGTCCAAGAAGACCAGTGTGGAGGAAGAGTCAATGAGGTATTTAGAGGAGGAAGCCATTTAGCTAGAGCCTGTTCTGTAAGTTTATTACATTGCAGTAGATTGCTAAGCCATTTCACCACCTTCTTTCAGTATCTATCCACATTCCAATAGATTCTGCCTCTATAGTAACTCAGGATGACTCCAATCAGCAGTTATCGGGCACAAAGTTAACCACCAGGTCTCTTAACACAGGCAGATGCTGTACTCGTTAAGATCATGAAAACAGATTGTGCTGTAGGAAACTGATCGTCGCTTCAAATTAAACACAAAGGCTCACAAATGAAGACTTGGAACCAATCCTTTGAAAAGCACCCCACACTTACCAGGTTGGCTGTGGACTCTGCAGTCGCATACACATCTGGGTCAGAATAAACAGGATCTGGTGATCAAGAGAGAAACTTTATTGCAGGTTTTTGGCAACAAGAAAGGGAAAGTAGTGCTGGGAAACTGACTCAGAACATTTGTACTAATATACCAAACCTTTTGACAACTTAGTGCATGTACAGGGTGACCAATAAGTCATGATAATATTACAATAAGTTGTAAATGATTTTTTAAGATAAAATAGCTGAAAAATAAGACTTTTTGGTCACCTTGTACAATAAACCACATTGAAGATGTGAGTGCATCTGGGTTCAGTGGCGGTTAAACAAGTCCTGCCTCCCTTCTCTCCCCCCACCATTACCTGTGACCATCCCAAAACCATGTTCATACGGCTTATGAAGGGAGTACAGGAACAGTAGTTGGGGAGCACTATAACTTAGCTATGAGATATCACACCAACCTGCTGCTGCATAAATGAAGTCTTCATGATATTCACCTAAGGTCAGAAATTACATTTGTGTCAGACATTCACACAGTCATCAATATATAAAATAGTCACAATTTATACTGGGCACCAGCAAGAAGAACATCTCCCAAAGCTCTCTCTAGATGGAATCTTTTTCTAGCAGGGCTGAGAACAGTCTATTCTGGTGTGTCCTGGCTACAGATACGAGTAGTTGGGACATGTCTAAGCGCTTTACACTATATATTGTAAAGTGTAGGGATTGTATTTTGAGGGTAAATGGGAAAGCACTTGCACTCAGATTAGAGGCTTACAGCACAGGCAGCCACTGTGTCCCAACCCCACTGGAGCCACGTGCTGTAAAACCCGCCATTCAATGCAAAACGATTACGCTTCCCTCCACGGCTCTCCCCACACTGCGTCCCTCCACTCACCTCCATCACCCCGCTCCTCGGCTTCTTCAGAAGAGTTGATGGGCTTGCTGCCGGAGCCTGGACTCCCTCTCCTGGGCACCCAGTACCCAGGCAGAGCTGGCACAACTGGATGCGAAGCTGAGTGTTCCTGGGGTAAAAGCAGGTCTTGTTTCAAGCACAATTTTCTAATGAATAGTCAGTATTTACTGGCTAGCTCAATACAATGCTATATTTATAGAGTGTGGGTAGGTAGTGGGTAAAATATTCAGGGGGTGGTGGGCTGAAGCGGTCGGTCTGCTTTAAGACAGGCATAGCCTCTCTGCCAGCGTCAAAAAATGGCCGCCTCCCCAGCATCTTGTGGCTCAGTGTAGCTCAGTGGTTAGAGCACTCGCCTTGCAAGCGAGAGACCTGGGTTCTATTCCTGGCAGGGCGAAATATTAGGGAAGTTTCCTTACTCCACATGCCTCGGTTTACCTAGCAGTAACTAGGATCCCGGTTGTTAGTCGATTGGCGGATCGCTTTTCTGGGGATAATAATTCCTCAAAATAATAATAATGGTGATTTGGTCATTCCATCAACAACTGTTTGTGGGATACTGCTGTGCACAATTGGCTGCTGTGTTCCACCCACAAATAGTCAGATCACTTCGGTGTGTTCTGTGAAGGTCTTTTGAGACATCTAGAAGTTGTGAAAAGAGCTATATCAAATGCAAGCATCATTATTATTAAAGCCATCACAGATAACATTGGGGGAGGGAGGGAGAGAAGTTGTTTGTATGGTGAGGAGGTCTCAGCCATCTATCTACAGCTCACCTTTAAGTGGGTGAGGTCTGGAGGCTGAGCCACCTCTAGCCCTATCTACCTGCTGTCTATGCTTTTCCTGTGGATCAGACTCACGTGGAGGGGATGATAGCCTGGCTCATTTCCTTCTTCAATTTGGTAGAAACCCATGGTTTCCTCAATGGCTCGCTGCTCTTGAGGATTCTCGGGGATGTAGCTGTACTGGCAATCCTTGTTCACGTACTGCACAGGCCTGCGGTTTCTGCTGCACACAGCAATTGGGAAAATGCATTCACAAAGAATGGATACCAATCAGGTTATGAAAAACATCTTCAAGAGGCTTAGACAGATGGAACAGAAACCCTCTAGAAAAAGCAATATTGCCCGTCTTCAGGCTCAGTTCATTAAAACTCTACGTAAGTGCAAGTTGCTGTAGACTGACTAGAAGCCCCCCTTTCCACTCCTAGTCAAGAACATTATGTTCATTCTCCTTGAATGAATAATGAACAAAACTTAAATCACTGGAAACTGGTAAGTAATAGATGCAGGTGACTGAGCCAGGAAACCACTGCACTGTTACACTGAGGGCAAGAGGCTTGGAAGCGCAAAGTGCCACCGGGATTTCCAATGATAAACTAGGCACAAGCACTGCAGGAACATTGCTTACTAAGTTTGATATATAATTAGACTAAATGCATTAAAAGGGACCATTACCGGGATCTGTAGGTGAAGTTGTCATAGTGTTGGTAACCTCGCTTCCCACAGCCAGAGTATGCACACGTGTAGTCAGGGTTAACAAAGCCGCGTTGGTTCATGAAGCGACCGGCTTGGTTCCTGGTGGGGGAGGAAGAGGAGAGATTAAGACCTTGGTCAAGTTGGCCTTTAGTAGTCTTTCTCTTTTTTTTTTAAACTGAAGCCCACCTAGTTTCCTTCCCCCACCCCACACAAACCACCCACCCCGTCAGCTCACAAACCTGGAGGGTCCATAGCTGCTTCTCCCAGCTCTGGATGGTGGGGGGTGGTCGTACTGAACAAAGTTGGGGTTTTGGGGAGGAGGGAGGGGCCCTCTGCCAGGGGGGGCATTGTGCTGCAGGCGAGGGGGGAGCAGGGCCTGGCCTCGGCCGTAAGCGAACGCCATGAAGATCTCCTTCCCACGAATCTTTTTTATGAACCTTTTGCGAGATTTGGGATCGAGATCTGTAACGGGGGGGGAAACAGAAAGCACTTGGTGAGTAAATTGCTGGACCAATAATTCAATCACAATCAACTCTAATGCAGTATTAGAAGTAAACTATGGTGAGCTATAACAGGATTGTGCTGTAATTTGTGAAGGATTGAAGCACAGATGAAGAGGTAAAAAAATTAGCTCAGTCTGCCCACAAGTAAATCACTACACTTTACAGAGCATCCTGAAGTGCTCATCTTTCCGACATGAAAGGCACCGACTCAAATGCCTTATTATTAAACCTTTGCTTTATCATTGATGACAAGAAATGTACTGTAAAGTACAACGATCATTTTGTAGGCAAACGTCTCAAAGCACTTCACAGGGAATTTCTGCTCAGTGACTATTTGTAGGCAGATGCAGCAGCTAATTTGCACACAGCAATGTCCCACATGCAGCAATAAAATGAAGGACCAATCTTACTGGTGGACCTGGGGGGGGAAGGGAAATCAAGAGAGGAATTGTTGGCCAGGACACCAGGAGAAACTCCATTCTCTTTCGCAAAGTAGTCACAGGAACTGAACATCCAACCAACCCAATGACAGGACACTAAGGCTTAACGTCTCAAAACGACAGCTACTCTGACCCATGGGAGTGGAAACATGGTATAAATTCCGTACCATTGAGAACAAAGTACATTTGAAACGAGACCCGAGGCTGTGTCCTCGACGATTACTAACCTAACTCAGAAACATATCCACTTGGCATCTTCTGGTAGTTTCCACCCTTTCTGTTGGGCATCATATTCCATGCAGGAACCGGAGTCACCTGAGTCACAGGCTTCAGGTTAATCAGTGGAACAGTGTGCCTGCAGGCAAGTCAGAAATAAAAACATTAACTTTGCCAATGATTCCAGTAACTCAGCTTTCCTCGATCAGAGGATTTTACAGTCCAAAAAGTCCACCCCCAATAATAATTCTTCCATTTGATACAGCATCTTATCATGTCTTTGAGATGTTTTAAGGTGCTTCAGAGTATACTGAAAAGTGAATTGACTATTTTGTGAGTGAAACGCAGCAGCCAATTGCTCACAGCAGTGTCCCACAAACAGTCATAGATTGAATAGCCAAATTTTTTGGGGGGTTATTACGCCCAGGAAAGCAATCGACTAACAACCAGGTTGCCACTTACTGCTGGGTAAACAGAGGCACGTGGAATAAGGAAACTTGCCCAACATTTCACTCTGCCCAGGAATCGAACCCAGGACCTCTCGCTTGCAAGACAAGTGCTTTAAGCTCTGAGCTACAGGAGTCCACAAGGGAGAGGACCACAGCCAGCAAGAGGCAGTGTAGATGAACCAATTTCACACTTTGCCATTGACTGGCTGAGTGCTGGTACATTTTGCCTGTAATGGAGTAAAAGGAGATGGGGATACTAACTTCTCAGCCAGCTCTTCTATGAAGACGGTCACTGAGTTCCCATCCTGCCCGGCCTCTTGAATGTGAGCATTGTAGTACTTTTCTCCTTGATCAAGCTTAACCTGTAGAGAGATGAGCTTTGTTATTAGCAGAAACAAAAAGCAATTGTAAAGCAATTTACATTGGAATAGTGCTTTTCGTATTGGAGCAACTGCACTGGACACTTCTGGCCAGGCATCTAAACTTCAGGAGGGGGGGGCATGCAAAGATGACCAAATGTGTGGTCAGAGATCCCAGTTTACTTAAGTGCTTTAAAATTGGTCGACACGCCTGATATTGTCAATCTGACTCTCAAACCAGTCACTCACCTGACACTTGTCTCCTAAACAGTACTGCCTTCCGGAGACCATCATGTAGTCCACCTTCTGCTGTTCTGTAACAAGATGACGATGGGTTAATAACCTTGTAAAATCTAATGTTACAAGAACTGTTCCTGTGTCCCTCTGCTCACCCGATTGCCAAATAAAAAGCAAACTGCCCACACATCTAGAGTGTCAGCTTGGCTCAGTTGGTGGCACTCTTGCCTTTGGTTTCAGAAGATGTCGAGGGTCAAGCCTTACATTGGGGACTTTGAGGTCATGGCCAAGTCTCATCGAAAAAGAATGGCATAACTAACAATGCAGGGCTTGCTCCTCCATTGGAGTGTGGCTGTCAACTGTGCCAAGCTGAGACCAGAGTAAGAAGGCAGATCAATGTGGACACTTAAATCAGGCCAGTCATTGCGTTGGTTTACCTAACTCAGGACAAGTGTGAATTCTAGTTTAACTGCATAGCTGTAGGTCAGCTTGGGCCACTACACGATGCATAGTCAAGTTGACTGGAATGGAGTTTACACTCTGAATGCATAGTCTTCAAAGTTAACATTGACATTCCAAACACTAAACAGCACTTTTTCAGACAAGTATATTATGTACTGAATGATCCAAAATGGTTCTGCACATTTTGTTTTTAATTTCATTAATTACCCTCCCCAATCACAACAAAGCCATTTCAATTTATACCTTTCCTGCTGTCCAGCCAAACGTCAAACTCCACGTTGCGGTAGATCTCGGAATCCAAAGCCTTCAGCACTTTAAAGGGGAACGGCATCTTTGAAGGGCCATCTGTGGTCTGAAAAACAGAATCAAGACACCCAACACTTACACACTGAACTGAGCCATAATGCATAGAGGGACCTCTAACCTACTTACAGCCATAATGCATTTCAAACAAAAACAGGATTGAAATAAGTGCTAATCACAGTATGAATAGAGCTCCAGGTGACTCCCCAACCTTTAAGGCTATAGTGTTTGAGAGGATAACCCCAAAATAAGGCATTGTATCTCCTAAAAAGAAACCCATTTGTGTGCAAGCTGCTTCTATAAGTCACAGCTGCCCAGTATCTCATCCTTATTGGGAGACAAAGTGTACATTATAATCCAGATGTTCTTACTTCTGTCCAGTAGAGGGTCCTGCACACATGATGGAACCTATATCCAGTTGAGACCTCTGTGGAGCAGGGAAGACAGATGTCCTGTATTAAATGAAAGTCAAACCCCCTCTATCTGAAGCGGAGAGATTGGGCTCACCCACTCTTCCAGCCAATGCTGGTGGGTTCCCAGGGTGGGTGGCAACAACCACATGCAGCCTTAGGTGTGCAACTCCATCAATAAACACCCATTGAAAACACCAGTTGTTTGTGTGCATGAGGTTGAAGTTTGGCTAAAGGAATGTACAATAAGGTGACAAATCTGCCCCATTAATAACAAACGGGGAAAGAACAAGAACAATGCCCAACAGTGATCATTTCCCAAAAGTAACCCAATGGGTGGCTGTGGTTTAGTTAAAAATCTTTATTCAGTTGCAAAAGTTGTTTGTGGATAGACTGCATGAGAACAAATCCCATTCACATGAAAACACAAGTCTTCCTGTAAGCAGGCAAGGGGTTATATAGCTACCTATTAAGCTATCTGCTAACATGGCACTTCCACATTCCTAATAAAAAGAAACATTATTCAGCAAAAACTTAACAGTTCATTCAAATTCACTTGTACTACAAATACACCAGAAGTTTAACAAACCCAATGGACCAATTTCTGCAAAGGTAGAGCTTCCAATCACACTATTGGAAAGGATTATTAATATTGTAGTCACAAAACATTGTCAGATAACGTGTTCTACATATGGCAGCTCTACTCTAGTATTGCACTAATAGGTTTAAGCAGAAATTGTTCACATGCATTTTGAGATGCCTCAAAGACATGATACAACACTATATCAAATGCAAAGATTATTATTAGCTGTTTAATACATTTCTTAAGAGAATGGGACACTTGACCCAGTGGAACCCATATGCGTTTGCAGAAACCAACACACATTTAATAAGGTAAAGATGTTAAAAACTAAGTTATTGCAGTGACACTGCTGGAAACTACACATTGACACCAGGTGAGGTAGGTGTGTTGCGTCTCTCCATTGCAAAAAATACTTCATACCCTCCTCCCCCCAAATCACTTGAATTCTTTTGAAGTTCTAAATACCTTTACATCCACCGCTCCAGGCTTGGATGGCTTGTCTTTTGGGGCATTCTCATGGTCACTGCTTTCTGCTTGATCCTTCCTGTACAAGCAAGCAAAACCATTCTTTACCTTCCGACCCACTGTGTAGCTGCCAAATGGCAATAGTAGAAAAAAAAACAATTCCAATTTCTGGGGATAAAGCTACCAGGTGGCGTAAGAAATATTGGACAAAAAAGACCAAGGTCCATCTAGTTTGCCTTCCATCTTCCTGGAAGTCACATGCAAACTCCTTATGTGCTGTATCCCATAATGTTATTTCTTAAAAGAAAACTATCTAATTTGTGTTTGAAGGAATCCATCTTACTGCTTCAACCGTCTCCCTCGGGAGCCTGTTCCACAGATTCACTCACTGAAATAGCGTTTGTGTAGATTCGTTCTGAATTTACCCCCCTTCAATCGCACTCCCAACACTGTCCCAAACCTGATCTCAAGATTCACCAATGCTTGCAATTGAAAAACAAGCATCTTAAGCAGCCAGCCTGGCTCAGTTGATCATAACCTCCAAGTAGGAAAATTGAGGGTTTGAGCCCTTGCCTCTTTCTTCCCCCCCACTTCCCAAAAAGCAGAACTCAAGCTTGTAAGCTAGGGCGGTGCATCAAGTCATTACAGGGTGAGGAAAAAACCTGCTATATTGTCGTTGGGTGCCCAGAAACGATGTTAAAAATGAAGTTCCATTTTCTGAGATGCCCGTTTCTATTGCTCTAACATTCTAAGGTTCCAATGTACAATTCAGTCCTATTCTTTGAAGTGCCAACACCATTGCAAGGCACAGGTTCCCATATGCCGTCAACTCCTAAGTTGATTAAAAGGACAAAGACCCCAACACACCGTGCTTCCTTCTCCGAGTTCTCCGGCTCCTCGCTGGTCTGGGAAATATTCTCCCGCCTGGTTTTCTTGGAGTGGCTGCGGAACAGTTCCACCGCAGCTGTCAGCTCCTCCTCACTCACCCCAAACACATCCCGGTACAGGATTTCATACACGACCGCTGAAAGGCAAAGCTGTCGTCAGGCCCACCAATCACACATGGGGCGAGTAAAGGTCATTCAACCCATCAAGCCTGTTCCTCAAGATCTTTTAATCCCCATCCTTTTCCCCCATAACCTTTAATACCCTTACTGGGACGTCCTCCCGACGTGAAAGGCGCTTTATAAATGAAATCTTGTTGTTCCCACGCATGCAAGTCACTTAATGGCTATTTAGTGGACACTTATGCACATATTGGTTGCTACATACTCCCATTGCACTTTACAATCTATCCTGTGAAGCGCTTTGAGACATTACCCCAACATGAACAGCTCTGTACCAAATGCAAGTATTATATCAGATAAATCCACAAGAGCAAGTTTTTGAGATGAGACTGGATCGGTCGCCCCAAGCTAATCAGCCGTTGGGTTTGCCATGAGGGAGGAACCCACCTTGACAAGTGGCTGCAGCTCCGTGAAACTGCTTTGTGAACACGCTGTCATAATGGCCATTGCTCGAACAGCACAGCAAGATCTTCAAAGAAAGCAGAGAAAAGTGTGAGGCGAGTCGCTGGTGGCTGGCACTAGGCACATGGCAAAAATACACCCATAGATACAATCTATCATCGGGTAGGTGGCAAGGTCTCCCAGGGTCAGGTACAAAATCCACAATTCTCTCTGTAAACCCCTTCCAACTCAATGAGAAGGGTCAAGCCTTTAAATTACAAAAAAATTTAATTTAATTTCTGTTCAGGGTAGATCTTTTCTCCCCCTCCTGCCCACCAGATGCTCAATTGGCCACCACTGCTGTAGAGGGACCAAGAACAGAACACCTGGCTGTTTCTAACCTCCCCAAATATGGAAAGACCACGGCTAGTTTAGCCCCTCTTCTCTCTCTCCCCCCAGTCAGCCGCAGCTGAAACCAGGATTTGAACCAGCAGCTCTATCCACGTCACCGTTATGGCTTATTTTCTAAAGCATGTTCATCGGTAACAAGGCTACAATGGTGAGACACAAACATGTTTTACCTTCTTCTCAAACCCGTTATCGGTGACTTGCGTGGGTGGCTTTCCAGGGTAACGATACACGTGAAAATCACATCTTAAGGTTTAAAGGGGAAAAAAGGATTAAAAATAAACACTTTCTTGACATTTTTTATGTCTCTACCGCCCCCCTCTTTTCCAGGGGTAAAAAAGTCTACAGGCTCAGTAAGGCTCATGGTTTTGTCAGTGATTAGAATATTATTCTGTGGAGTGTTCCCCAACCCAGGGCAATTCCATCCTCAGTCCGCTAGCTAGTGACTGGTTTCTGCACCCCATCGCTCGATATACACCATTCCCCTGAGAAATACTGTTAAACCCAGAGATTGCAGGTTGTGGAATTAGTTTCACAAACAGATCACAATTTCGACTTGCATCGGCAAATCACAAATAGCCCCCCCCTCCCCAGTAAAAGCCCTTTGTCAAGTGAATGCTACACTTACTTGTACATCAATGACAGAGCACTGATCTCCAGCACGCTAGCCCATTCCTGCCAAAACACAAACAGGTCATTTTAATGCAAAGCTTATAAAGCTCAGACAATAAACACCGCCAACGATACAGTATTTCACTCACCATTAAGCACCTTATCGACTAGAAGTGTCATTATGAACAAGGAGCCCTGGGCACAGACAGAGGTTACACTAAAGATCGATTACCGACCTGAAGGGGTGATTTCTCCATCCTTCACCTATAGCATAAGCCCCCACACAAGGCACATCTCTCTCCCTCTCTCTGACTTACGTGGTTCAGTGCACACACAGTAACCACCACCCACACAGCCACCTTTACCTTGGGATCCTCCAGGCGTTCCAAGCGCTTCTCCAGGGAACCGTCCACAAACTGGGAAAATAATGGGTGGGAAGAGAACAAGTTCTGGTGATTCCCAAAAAGCCAACAACCCCCCGAGTCCGCAGTTCCAGTGCGACCCCAGTCCACACCCCCTCCCAATCACACCCCAAAGGCCACTCACCTGCCCACAAACACACGACCATTTTGAGATGAATTAACGCAGAGAGAACAGGTGCCACAGTGCCTTATACTCAATTTCACACGTTGTTACGCAGAACTCAAATAAAACCCAAATTGTAATACTTTTGCCCCCCCCACACCCTGTTTTCTGTGCTCAGGTTTAACTGCCTTAAGTTTCCACGACTTTTGCCACATTTGGGAGGAGATGGAAAATAAAAAAATACAAATCAACTTTCACAGAGCAAAGTCCCCCCCACACCCCCACTTACTGCTTCAAACTTGCTGGGGTTCACCCGCATGTAGGTAATGCACATTCGTCGGATTTCCAAGTGATGGATCTGCGTCAGAAACAACTGGAAAGATTTATAAAAAAAAAAGAGAAGTTATTGAGGAAGAAAAAAAAGGGGAGAAAAACACCAAAGCCACTCTTATAATTTTTTGACCACCGAATGCTCTGCGCCCCAGAGATGTGGGTGCAACAAAAGTTGTATTGGGGGGAGAAATACACAGAAAAAAGTTTATTCGCATAAAAACTAAAATAAACTGTTTTATTTTAAATAGAATGGCCCAGGAATTGGGAGAGAGAGAGAGTGAGAGAGAGAGAGAGAGAGAGAAAGAAAGAGGAGAGGAAGGAAAATACGCACTGCATCTCAACGCACTTCTGGAGCCTCCAAAAAAAAAAGGAAGGAAAAGGGGTTTAAAGGGATGGAGACGGTCTCTCACCTGTTCAGAGACGGCCCTGAACAGACAGGACCCGTCCTTGGCTGTGAGTTTGCGGTACAGCCCCTGACTGCTCAGGTACTCGTCCATCGTCACTTCGCTCAGAGACTTCTGTCCAAAGTACTTCCTACACCCCTTCTGCATGTCCACTCCTCGCCATCAGACACCTCAATCAACCCCCAGGCGCTCAGCAGCGCCTATATACCCGCACTCAATCACTGCACTTGTTGGAACTTTTCTTTATTTCTCTCTCTCTCGCCCCAAAACCGAATTAACTTTCCAATTGGCACTCACACACTACACTCTCTCTCTCTCTCTCTCACACTCACTCACTCACTCATTCACACAGTAAAGGGTCGAGGAGGCAGTTTTCGCTCTGTGAACGTGCCCAACAACAGCCAAATCAGGTGCATCGAATCTCTCTGATTGCAATTTTGCCCCCACCTTCCCCCCCACCTGCCCCCCCCCTCCTGCCCCCCTTTGAGCCCACAAATGGATCAGTTTTTCTCCCCCAAAAAGACATCTATCTATATATTATTGGATCTGTTTTAAATATGCAAATCGCTTCATTTTGTTCTCTGTCCAGGAATCCCACATTATTTATTGTTTCCCTCCTCTCTCTCTGTTTTTTTTTGAAAAAAAGAGCATTTTTTTTCAAAAATATGCATGTGTTGAAAATGATTTTGCTCCCCTGATGGATTTTAGTTCCTTTGGATGGGTGGGATTCATTTGGGTGGGTGGGTGGGGGGAGGGCTTCTAAATCTACTTTGATCATTGACTGTTCTAAGACCTTACCACACCCCCTACACACATTGAAGACCATTCAGAAGGCTGCAAACCAACCCATGCCCTTTCACACACCAGGTGCCCATCACCTCCATCCTCCTTCAGCTTCGATGGGGGTCCAATACCACAGAGTATTGAATTCAAGATCCTTATCCTCACGTTCAAGTGCGTCCGCCCCACCCTACCTCTGCCACCCTCTCTGCAACTACCAAGCCACCATCAGTGGGCAAGCTTTCACCCATTGTACCCCACCCACAGAACTCCATCCTGGAGTCCCTCCGACTTGTTCTCAAGACTTAAGTGTTTGCCTGTCTCATCGTGTGGTCGGTCATTTCTTCCACCCCACCCATCTTGCCAGCTGTGTAAAATGCTTTGGAGTTGAGGCATCCTCCTAATCTGGAAGGCATTATATTAAATTGAATGCTCTTCATACTATTCCACCATGTGGAAAACTACTATCGAATGAATGTAAACCAGAGTTTGTGGGGGTGGGGGATTAGTTGAAAGTGAAAATTTTAGTGGAATTAATTGCCAAAGTTATATGTTATGAGTTATTATGATGCAAGCAAGTTGTGTTGAAAAGAGAATAACAGTATGCGTTAGTAACTTAATCCTTGCATTTGATATAACACCTTAATACGTCTTTTGAGACATCTCAAAGGACTTCACGGAATATACTGTAAAGTGAATTGACTGTATATTTTGCGGGTGAAACGCGGCAGCCAATTGCGCACAGCAGTGTCCCATGAACAGTTGTGGATTGAGTAACCAATTTTTTTAAAAATAGGATGACCCCCGGAAAGCGATCCACCAATCTACTACAGACGGGTTCTGACTTACTGCTTGGTAAACGGAAGTGTGTGGAGTAAGGAAAGTTGTCTGAGATTTTGTTCTGCCTAGGAATCAAACCCAGTTCTTCTCGCTTGTGAGGTGAGTACTCTAACTAATACGCTACAGGACTCCCATGTTTTACCCATATTCCTACCACCCTTTAATCCCACTCCCTGGCTCTTTCTCCGCAATCCATTAAACAATTTTTTACTGCTCGAATTCCCCTTTAAGTCTATTTTATCAGTATAAGTACCTTTTAAAAGAAAAACTTCAGCCAACTCTCAAAAAGTTTGAATATAACTTTATTATTAATATTGTGAATTGGTTTTAAAACTACATTGGAAAAATAAAGATATTTACACACAGTTCCAGTAAAATCCCCAGCGTTTCAGAGCTGTCACCTTTAATGACAGAGAATAAACACGGACTTTTTAAACCTGGCGTCCTACAGGTCAACACTACAAATTACCATATGCTTGTTCCTGCAAGTTAAGCGTATTCCTCCTAATCAGCCTTCATTATAGTGATGAGCTGGCAGGATTGCAGCAGCTAAGACAAGAGACGCAGATTAACGGGGTCTGATAAAATGGTAACGAGTTCATCTGCTAATTCTTCCCTTTGAAGGAACAAGTCACGTCAAATTAGCGTAAAGAAAATGATTCATCCCACTGATTCTTCACGGAGAGCTAAATGCAAAGGCAAAGCACTTAACGGACCAGGAGCGGAAATTTGGCTGTTGGGAGTTCAGAATGCAAACTACGCGATTTCACCCCAACACACACTCTGGGATGCATCCCCATTTCCACTTGGCTTGATATAATTCCCACGGGAAATCTATTTTTTCCCTATTTGTTTTTGCAGCGTGTGTGTAAAGAGGTGCATGTGTGCGTGTGTGCGTGTATGGGGGGAGTGGGGGTTGTTGAACAAGAAAGAGAAAGAGAGAGCGAGAGAGGGGGTGGTGGTGTCGGGTGGGGGGGGGGGGAGGGAAGAAATTTGTCCATTTACAAAATCCGCTGCCTCGGTCATTGAAATCCCACGATTCTATCCACAAAGTTTGCGAATTTTTCTGGGTGCCCTGGAGGGAAGGGTTCCAGCGAGGCGAAGTCCAGGCTTCGCAACGTTTCAGGAAGTGTGCTGTAACAGAAAGCAACAAAAAACATAAGTGAACTGGGCTCGGCAGCAACAGTTTTGCCTGCAGTGAAGGGGTGGGCTCCGGGACAATATGGCACCAGCCCTCTGCCTCTCGGGGTCCTATCGCTTACAAACTAACACTTTTATAGGTCGTGCTTTGCCCCAGACATTTTGTCTGCAAGCTCCAATTTACAACTTTTCTTTTTGAAAAAAACGTACGTACACCCAGCACTACGCTGTTATATTTTGGTATTAATCTCCCTCCCCCTCCTCCCTCCCTGCCCCCCCCCCCCCGTACAACAACAACAACAACTTGCATTTGTATATCGCTCTCCACGTGGGTAGCGTCTCGGAGCGCTTAATAAGGAGTATGTTTGCTGGACCTGCTGTACAGCAAAGCACGTACCATCTTCGCTTCCTGTGACTTGGCAGCCCGCAAGTCTCGCAGTGCCTGCTCGCTGGGCGGGAAATTGCTGTCGATTGTAGTGACTGTATTCGTAGGCAGGCACCCAGGTCCCACAAACAGCCATGTCCAATTTATCTGGGGGAATGTTGGCCAGGGCACCCAGGAGAAACTACCTGTTTTCTGAACAGAATCACGGGATCTGTAACTTCCACCTGAACAGGCAGATGTCCCGAGACCTTGGATTAACGTCTCATTCCAAAAGAACTGCGCCTCTTGACGATGAACCGCTCACCCCCAGCACTGAGCTGAGGAGCGCAGCCTAGACCATGAGCTCAAATCAAGATGCGAGACTTGGGACGAACAACCTTCTGACATATCTACCTGCAGGTGCAGTACAGGAGGTGCCCATCGCGGTGCAGCCGCTTGGCCAGTTCTAGCTGGTGGTTGTCCATCAGATTTTCGTTGATGACGACGATGAGAGGTTTCCCAGCGCCGAGTGCCTCCAGACAGCTGCCTGCACCTGGAGACGGTGAAAGCAGAAAGCGCTTGCATTTTAGAGCGCTTAGCAAGCCGGAAACCGAAGGCATTTATTTGACCGGTAATATTTTAAAGAAAAACATTGAAAAATACAAATGTTATAGATCCAGAGGAAGTAGTATGTGTAAATGAAAATAGAGGCTTGAGAAGGATATGGGGATAGGGCGAGGAATGGACAGCGTGCTCTGGGAATTTCTATGATCAGGTGGGTCCAAGGTTTGACCTCTGGTCTGTGTCTGTGTGGGGGTTACTGGGCATGCAAAGAGTTTGCTCCAGTGGATTTATTATTGCAGATTATAAAGTGTGTGTGTGGTACATCCTGGAGAATAAACAGTAACATTCTCCCAAGGTGTTTTAAAGAGATCTGGAGAGCAGATACTGACATCTTAAAGCAGGATTGCGGGCCAATAAAGCCATAAAAAGAGTCAATGGTATCCTGGATCTTACGTACAGGAGAAATGAATACTAAGGAAGTGAGGAGGTGGTGCAGAATTTTACTTAGAATGCAGTATTTATTAGTTTATTATTAATAATAATAAATAATATTAAGCACATTGTGTCCAATTTGATATTGCTCCACTGTGTGTTCACATCAGGTATTGCACCCATAATAATAATCACAATCACAATATGATACATCATTAGAATATTTATTAATAATATTTTTTATTTGACCTGTTATGCTGAAATATTCTAATGATGTATCATGTGGTGATTGTGATTACAACAACAACAAGATTTCATTTATAGAGCGCCTTTCACGTCGGGAGGACGTCCCAAGGCACTGGACAGCAGGGGGGAAATGGTCAGGGGGAGGGGAGGGAAGGGAGTGAGCGAGGAGGGGGGAAATGGTCAGGGTGAGGGGAGGGAAGGGAGGGAGCGAGGAGGGGGGAAATGGTCAGGGTGAGGGGAGGGAAGGGAGGGAGCGAGGAGGGGGGAGAGAGTCGAGAGCGGAGCTGAAGGCTGAAGGTCAAAGAGAAAGGTCTTGAGAACGGCCTTGAAGGAGGAAAGGGAGGAAGCGGAGAAGGCACTGGGGATAGAGTTCCAGAGTCTCGGGGCTGAGAGGCTGAAGGCCACCGATGGTAGGGCGGTTGGGGCGGGGGATGTGGAGCAGACCGGAGCCAGAGGAATGGAGGGTACGGGCAGGTAAGTAGGGCGATAGTAGGTAGGAGGGAGCGAGGCCGTGAATGGCCTTAAGGTGAGGATGAGGATCTTGAATTCGATTATTATTATGGGTGAAATACCTGATGTGAACACACAATGGCGCAATATCAAATTGGAGACAATGTGCTTAATATTATTTATAATCTGCCTCATTGCACTGAGACTGAACCAGGTTTAAATGGCAGGTATTTGGTTGAGAACCAACTGCAGGACCAGATAAGCCTCTGTCATCACATGGGTTGAATGCAGAGTCAGGCACCAGGTCCCCAGGAACAGACAGTGCCCATAAAGACATAAAGCCCGGTCAAGCAGAAACCATCTAAACCATTACATAAAGCAGATACCCAGGTCCTAGAGATAGTGCAGGTGGAGCTACGAGGATGGTCCCCAATGTTAGAGGGATGAGTAATGATGAGAGGTTTGCGTTGAAATGAGGTATTGGGAGCAATGCCTACCTGCGTGACTGATGACCAGTCCAGCGCTCTGGATGTCTTCTGCTATGGACTCCTTGAACCTGAAGACGTCGAGAGTGAAACTTGGGCCAGTGAAAGCCTTGGGCTCCACTGAGCCCCGGCCCACCTGGAGCGTCAGCTTTCGACAGCCCAATGTCTGTAGAATCTAAGTAGCCAGTGGTGGGGTGGGGGGGAGAGAGAGTCATAGGAACAAAATGAACAACATCTTGCTACTTATATAGCTGTACAGTATATAATAATTAAATGCAAGGATTATAATAATAATCCTAATAATAATTTGACACAGCGCCTTATCACGTCTTCGAGATGTCTCAAAGGGCTTCGCGGGATACTGTGTACAGTGAATTAATTGACTGTATTTTGTGGGCAAAACGTGGCAGGCAATTGCGCACAGCAACGTCCCCACAAACAGTCGAGGATTGAAGTGACCAATTTATTATTATTTTCCCACGTGGAGTAAGGTAACTTGCCCAAATTTTCACCCTGGCCTCTCGCGTGCGGGGAGAGTGCTCGAACCAGAACCCCACGGATCCATATCGGTGGTGGCCAACCCTTTTTGGTCGGCCAACCAAATAGGATTTTCTTCATTGAATTTTTCTTCATTGGCGAGTGTCGTGCCTCGGCAGCGAGTGGAGGTAAACTATTGATTTGGCGCGGACTCGCAGAGTGTGGCGGTGTATTTCTCGATGCCCCAAAGGTGGCCCGCGGACGGGCCTCTGCGCCAGTGGAACCGTAGCCATTTCATGTTGACTTGTGTGGCGTGAGCAATAGGTTTCCCTTCCAGAAACGTAACGTTTACGGGTTATGAAGAGAGGGGGTGGGAGGGCAGATGAAATGATGAGGGGGGGGAGGGCCGGATTCGGCCCATGGGCCGCCAGTGGAGCCGGTTCAGCTCCGAGGGGAACCCCTCCAACCCCTCCACCCCCCCCAGAAGGACTTGATCGCTAGTTGGTCATTGACCTCTTGACAAGCCGTTGGGTTGGGAGGACCCCCCGGGAGGTCCCTGGTGGGCAACGCAGCTCTCAGCGCGAAACACGTTGATCTGATAATTTGATACAGCGACTGCGTTGCCCCCAGTGTAGTGACTGTGCGGTCTGCGGCCAAACATTCCATTGACCACTCCCCCCCACCCCATCTCTTTGCCCCTCTCCTGACACTGTTGTTACCAGCTCCCGCCCCTCGCTGTCCCGATTGGTCGGGGCGAGTGTCAATCAGCGGCGCGGGTGCAACGCGCGCCGCTGATTGGGCAGAGCCCACGTCAGTCAGGAGAGCGGAGGGGGTGGGCGCCGCTGATTGGATGGCAGTGGGTGTCAATCAGGCCCGGCCGCTGCTGATTGGCGGGCGGGGGGGCGGGGCGAGGGGCGGGCCGTCACCGCTGGCGTCGCTCTCAGGCCTCGGTCCCGGAGGGGCTCCGGCGCCGCGCTCTCACCCGGGTCACTGCGTCAGATGACACGCACTCGATGAGTTGGTCGAAGCTCGTGGTCCCGACCGTAACAAAGACCGAATCCATCGCCTCCCCCGCGGGGACCCGAGCTCCGGCTCTCGACGGTGTGCGAGAGGCGGCCGACCAGCCGCGCTCCCCGAGTGACCGCGCAGCCGCGCTCCCCGAGCGGCCGACCAACCGCTCTCCCCGAGTGGCAGCTGGAGGGGGCGGGGCCACTTGCAATGATGACGATGATAATAATAATAATAATAATAATCTTTGCATTTGATTATTTCGCCCACAAAACGCACAGTCGATTCGCGTTACGCTACATTCTGTCACGCGCTTCGAGGCGATTCCTACGCCGGCGGCCGGTTTCCGGCCCCTCTGTCGCACACGTTTTGAGTTCCCGTATTGTTATCGCTAAACAAATAATAATAATCATAATCCTTGCATTTGATATAGCGCCGTATCGCGTCTTAACAGAAGATCAAACATGTTGTGGTGTGTTTTAACCCCCCCCACCCCACCCCCGGAAGTTTTCATTTCGTGTGTAAACTTTAACAAGCACAGATTGACCTGACCGGATTGTTTTGATAATAATAATAATAATAATAATAATCCTTGCATTTGATATAGCGCTTTTCACGTCGGGAGGACGTCCCAAAGCGCTTCACAGAACACACTAAAGTGAATTGACTGTATATTTGTGGGCGAACGCGGCAGCCAATTGCGCACAGCAATGTCCCACAAACAGTCGTAGATTGAAAATGACCAATTTATTATTGTTTTTGTTTTTTTTGGAGGGATTATTATTAGGCTCTGTGTGGAGTAAGGAAACTTGCCCAAGGTTTCGCCCTCTGCCTGGAATTGAACTCAGGTCTCTCGCTCGCAAAGCGAGTGCTCTAACCACTGAGCTACAGGACTCCACTGATTATACTGTAATTGCTCCATCTTCTTCCAAAGGCGGAGCTTCCTACGAGAGGCAAGTATTTAGGGGAGGCTGTTACGGTCCAGTATTATTGGCACGCGCCAGCAGGCTGTTCTTGGTTGTGAAAATGGAATCAAATAAAAAGAAAGAAAGCGCACAGGTGTGAAATTGAGCCACAAGTACAAAAGAAAATGTTACCAGTTTTATTGTTGGTGGTTGGAGGAGAAGTGGCTGAAATTCCAACGTGATATTATCATTGATGATGAATTGATTTAACACTTTCATCAAAATATTGGCTAGTAATATCACCAGCCTGGGGGATGGGGGGGTGCGAGTTGGGCAGACACTTTTAATTATAGATCATATTGATTGCATTGTGGGCCGATATGATAATTATCACGGGTGATAATATTACAAGCCGTGTTTTGCTCTTTTCACCTCCCAACCGTCTCTCATTTCAGGCCAGCGAGACCCAAAGGATCGCGAAACAAACCAAAGGAATGAACTTGGGAACCCAGTGAGGTGTGTGTCCAGGCTGGGCCAGGCATCAAAACCTTTTCGGCTGCTGTTTGCGGCAATTTCTGGTCTGGTTTATCCAGAGCCGAGCTCTTTCCGTGGCCGCTGGAGATGGTCAACGAGAGTATCGCACATTGGGAGCCCCGAAACTCTGGAGCTCACTCCCTCAATCCCCCCGCCTTGCCCCCTCCTTCTCCATCTTCAGGTCACGCCTGAAGACCTTCCTCTTGGACCGTGCTTACAGTCAACTCTGCCCAGCTTGGCGACAGGCACCACCACTGCCAGGTGCTCTGGGACTCTACCCTGAACGAGGGCTGCTGTGTAAATGTAAGTTGTTGCTGTCGTTCGTGCAGTATCCAGGGCCAGTCACCAAGACCTGAACTCCGACTCTCTCTCTCCCTCCGCTGATTATCCATTCCCGATCAGTGAGCCAGTGAGGCCCCTGTGGCCGAGAGGGATCTAGAAGCCGTGCATGTCCACCCCGGTGAAGCTGGTTGTGTTGTCCTCGCTCTCGGCTGGCGAGGAAATTGGAACCACTACGTGCTTTAAGCGGTAGAGCACCAGCACCATGAGGCAGAGGAGCAGCAGCAGCAAGCTGATGAATATAGCCACATAGGTGGAGATGTGGGGCGTTTTAGCCAAGCCAGGGTCCGGTCCCTCGCTCGGTGGGTGGAAGTGGAAGGGAGGGCCGGTGAAATTGTCCGATGGTTTGACGTAGAAGTCGGTCATTGTTCAGCTCAGAGCGGAACGCAAGTCAGACGTCAGCCATTAACTCAGAGAGAGAGAGAGAGTTTGTGAAATCTTCTTCAGGGGAAAGTTAAGCATTACCTGAGCGAGGAGTTTAGCAGTTGGTGAGATTCTCTCTCTCCTCTCTCTTTTTCTCTCTCTCTCACTGTGTCTCCCGAGGTTCCGTTTCCAATCGATTAAGCTGTCGGGAGTGTTTCAGGGTATCATCGCCGGCTCCGATTTTCTGGTGAAAGGCGGGGAGAGGTAGCGACTGAGTGAGCTGGAGCCAGACAGTGATCGCCCATTAGCCTGTGTGAGATACGACGCTCCAACAGCTGGCTCTCGCTGGCTGAGAGCGACTGATAAACAGATCGCTCCGACAGACTGATAGGCAGACAGGCAGCTTGCAGTGCCTGGGGCAGACTTTCACCAGGGCCAGAGCACTGGCGCTGCTTCCTGACGCTATCTGCGAGGTTACAACCCCCACCGTGAACCCATTGCTCATGTCACAACCCCTCCCCCCTCTTCCCACCCCCCCTCTCCCTCTCTTTCCCCCCCAACAGCTTCCCTGCCAATCGACTAGCTTTCCCCTCTCCTCCGGAGCAGTCAGAGGGAACTCATCAGCAAGAGGGAGTCTGTTGTCTTTAGCCGAGTCAGCACAGGCTGTGGGCAGCATCAACCCGTCTTATAAACTTGCATCATTTTGCGGATGACTTAATGGGATCGTTTCTATTGTTTTACGGCCTCTTCAACTGAGCACAAAGGAGGGCCCTCAAGCTAGTGACAGCGGCTCGCTCTCCCCCCCCTCCCCCCGGTGAAAACAAATACCAATATATATATTAAAAAAAGCTGTCAGCCTGGCTCGGTTGGGACGCTCTGAATTCACACTCAGGGTTGGATTGGGTTGGGCTCTGCATTGTTATTGAGACATCTCAATGACTTGATAAGGAGCAATATCAAGTGCAAGGTTTATTATTACTATTATTGGTGCCGTCCTTCGGATGAGACGGTAGCAACCTAAGCTCCTGTCTGTACCTATTTGGGTGGACGTTACAGATGCCGCGAGTTTCTCTCTCCCGGTGTCCTGGCCAACAATTCCTCAGATAAAACCAGTCGCTCGCTTCATGGCTGTTTGTGAGAAATTGCTGTGCGCAAATTGGGTTTCCTTCAATATACAAACAAGACCCTGCAGGTCAGGCGTGCTGACAGAGACATTTGCGACAATCTAAAGGTCTCTACGAAATGGAATTTGCGTTCAGTTTTATGGGTCATGGAACATTTCAATCATCCTCAGCTTTCCTCCTAATAGGCTGATCCTGCCCAACAGCCAAGGTTAACGCTGTAATGTTTTCTTTTCTGTGTAGAGACAGCCGGAGTAAACAGCCCTGTGTAGAGACAGCCCTGGGAAAATAATAATAATAATCCTGGCTTTTGATATAGCGCATTATCATGTCTTCTAGATGTTTCAAAGCCCTTCACAGAATAAACAGCTCTGTGTAGAGCGAGTCCTGGATAGAAGGTGTCTACAAAGTCCTGTTACCCCCTCCCCCCCCCCCCCCCCCTTACATAACAGCTATATGAGACTCTGCAATTGCTAAAACAAGCCGCCAGAGATACATTTTGCCTCTGAGTACAATTGAGTACTTCAGCATACAATTGTGATCATTCTTCCACATGGTTCAGTTGTTGGTCAGTGCACTGTAGAGGGGGAAAAAAAAACGTAGGGGTAACAGGACTTTGTGGCGACCCTACGGAGATAATCCTGTTAGAGTCACCCGACACTGTGTGCTGTGAGACCGCCCGATCACAGGACCACACGAAACCACAGCCACATTCAGTGGCTGCTAATTGACTCACTTGTGCTAAGCCCTTATACTTGGCGCACGCAGAGAGATGAGTGAATTGAATCTCAGGGTGACCATCCATCTCCATCTCCGTCGGGGGGGGGAGTGGGGGAGCGACTGTATTCATTCCTCGCTCACTTCGTTTAGCTCTGATCATGCAGTGTGAGCAAACTCGCACGGTCGAGAAAAAGCAATTTAAGTAAAAATCGGTTGCACGCAAATCGGGGAGAAATTTGACCCCGGTCGCGGTTAACGCTATTCACGCAACGTCTTGGGAGCATCCATCCAGGATTTGGCAAATCGTTGAGTTCGGTTTTTACTTTGAAGTGTAGTGACTGTATATTTTGTGGGTGAAACGCGGCAGCCAATTTTGCACGGTGGGGTGCCATAAAACAGTCGTGGATTGAGTCACCAAATTGTTAGCGGGGATTATTGCCCCCTGAAAAACCTATCCGCCAATCAACTAACAACTGGGTTCCTACTCACTGCTAAGTAAACAGAGGGATGTGGAATAAGGAAAGTTGCCCAACGTTTGGCCCTGTTGGGAACCAAACCCAGGTCCTCTCGCTTGCGAGGCGAGCGCTCTAACCACTGAGCTACAGACTCTATCTTACAGACCTCTCTCTTTCTCCCCACCCAGACCCACCCCTTCCAAACCTATCGCATTATAACAGGGTCCATCTGTACGCGATGCAGGAAGCAATCTCTCAGTTTAGCAGTCTTGTGCAAATACATAGCAAACTGCAGCATAATGAGATCAGGCCTGAAGACACCTAATTGAAATGCCAGGCACAGCCACGAATGAACGCCTTTCTAACTCTCGAGTTCCTTTTAAATTAAATCCTTGAGAGAGCTCTTGATAAAAAATAACATCATTTGTATTCATTCTGGCCCTCAAACCTTAGCGAGGAAGACGCGAGAGAGAGAGAGAGAGAGAGAGAGCTCTTGGACACAACATCAAGCGCTGACACGGTCATTAAAAATAACAATAAATTAATTTGGACGGATTTTAAATAGCTGGCTTTGGGAGATAATTACCTCATCCGTTCGTGCACAGATGTTATTTTACTCTCAGAAATATGATGCTAATAAATGGAAGATGCTAATATCAGCCTCAGGCTGTTTTCCTCCAGGTGGAAAGTCAATAATCTCTGAGAACTGACACACGGTTACACAGAGCGATCCA